GTTGAAAATCCAGAGAATATAGGTAAATTTAAGCTCAAGTTTAAGCTTACAGCTTTAAGGAGAAACTTTTCAACTTTGTCCGGAATTCGGATTGCTTTAACTTTCAACTTTCAACTCTTCTGAATTTGGCTAGCTTCAAAGCTTGTCTCAGCTACCGTACCAGTCTCAGCTACGTTATCTAGACGATTCTGCTTGTAAGATTTAGATCGCTAGCTAGCTTGCTTGTAAGAATCAGATCGCTAGCTTGGTTGCTTGTAAGATTTAAAGCTAGATCGGTAGCTAGATCTGTAGCTATCAATAGCTAGCTTATTTTAGAGAATAGCCGAATTTAATATCAGAGAACAAGAGGACAATCAGAGGAATGGGTAAAGGGAAAAGGGGATTGAGGTGAGATGGAATGATGAATGGAAGATGGAAGAATGGAAGGCATTTCAAGGTCAAAACCCCATTTCCTCCCTGAGCAAAATTGAGTGACAGAATGAAAAAATGAGAGCTGATTGACACTACGGGGGGTCGAACCCGGGTCGTGTGGGCTGTAGTCAATCGCGCTCCCGACTGCGCTATGACATTCACCCCCAGTTAGAAATCAGCTGTAAACAGCTAGCGGGGGAAGAAACGGGGATCTATTCCCCCACTAGCTGTTTACAGCTGGTTTCTAATCGGCTGGGGAGGCCAATCCCGTGGCGCAGTCGGCAGCGCGCTTATCTACAACCCACAGGGTCCAGGTTCGACTCCCGGCTGTGTCTTGAATTTTGCTTTTTAAAAAAACGATATATTGAATGCACAACTACATAGAATTCTAAGCCTAAGGAACTAAAAATAATGTAAATTGGCTTAGAATTCTATGGGGAGCCGAGAACTACGCGTACAGATGGATGAACAGACACCTTTATTTTAAATGGATAATTAAATTATATTTTGAGACATAATAGATTTATCTAGTAGATTCTCATCTAAATTTGATGAGCTTAATATAGAAATATGGAAAACTGCATAAAATATAGGAAAAGTTGCTCGATAGCTGGTGAAAAAGAGCTGAAAGATTTAATGGAGTGATGATATTTTTGAAATGATAACTGAATGAAGAAGAGGAGGAGGAGGAGGAGGAGGAGAGGAAGAAGAAGAGGAAGAAGAAGAGGAAGAACAAGAACAAGAAGAACAAGAAGAACAAGAACAAGAACAAGAACAAGAACAAGATGAAGAAGAAGATGATGAAGAAGAGGAAGAAGAAGACGAAGAAGGTGAAGAGGATGAAGAAGACGAAGAAGAAGAGGAAAAAGAAGAAGAAGAAGAAGAGGAAGAGGAAGAAGAAGAGGAAGAACAAGAAGAACAAGAAGAACAAGAACAAGAACAAGAAGAAGAGGAAGAAGAAGAAGAAGTAGAAGAAGAGGAACAAGAGGAAGAAGAACAAGAACCAGAACAAGAAGAAGAACAAGAAGAACAAGAAGAAGAAGAGGAAGAACAAGAAGTAGAGGAAGAAGAAGAAGAAGAGGAACAAGAGGAAGAAGATGAAGAAGAAGAAGAAGAAGAACAAAAAGATCTTCATTTATTTGACAGATCTTGATTCTAATAATTGCATAATTGCTGAATTCTAAACAAACAATAAAGCATTGATCGAAATGCGTCTTTTTTTGTTCTTTCTGTGTTTGAAAAGCGGTCTGATAACAGACAAAAAGAGAAACCATTTATGAGTAATAATTGAAACGGAGGAAAGTTTAGAAAGCAAAAAAGTTTAGAAAGCAAAAAATGATGAATCAAAAGTTAATCAAAAGTTAATCAAAGTTTTCTCAAAGATATGAAATCTTGTTGGGAAAAATTGAGAAAAAGATTTGAAATTTTGACAAAAATTGTCAATGTTTGTCAAAAATTTTCAATTTCAAGCGTCCTGCTGTGAGTTTTATGATAAAGAAATGGGAAAAAAAGAGAAAATCTCACGATTCCTAGTATTTTCTAAGTTTTAAGCTCAAAAGATTCAACATTTATTCCAGCTTTTCCCCCAGATCTAGCTCTTTTCACCTCTAGCAAATTGAGAAAGGAAAAGTCCCGGATTTTACCCAAAAAAAGTGACCGCTTCCTTGAGGAAATGATACTGAATGATGAAAAGAAAAGAAAAGAGAAAGAGTGACGATTTCTGGGGCGATTATTCGGCGACTATTATTCGGAGAATTCAAAGGGAAAGATTCTCTCTCATTCGTCCAATGTTTACTGATTAATTGATCGAAATTCGTCTTCTTTTTTCTTTCCTGTGTCATTTCCCCCTTTTTCAAGCCAAAATCACTGAGAAATTCTTTAGAAAAGCTTAAGAATTGAATTTTGTTGAGGAGCAAGGATATTGAACAATTAGATCAAGAATATTGATTAATTAGATCAATTATTAGGTTGGCAACTTAATAATGACGCGTTTATGTAACAAATCATTTATTTTAAAAAAAACACAAAAGAAGAGCTTTCAATTCGAAAGGTATTCTCCATTAGTATCTATGACTTCTTCCCATCTTCTGCGCAAATCCCGGATCCCATCCTCGAAGAACTTGGGAGTTTTTGAGGAGGCGAAGTAGTCATTCACTGCTTTTATGATCCGAGCATGATCATCGAACTTTTCTCCCTCCAAAAAGTGCTTCAGCGACCGAAACAAAAAGTAATCTGAAGGAGCCAGATCAGGTGAATAAGGCGCGTGGGGCAAAACTTTCCAGCCAAGTTCCTCGATTTTCTTATAAGTGATCTTTGCAGTGTGAGATTTTGCGTTGTCGTGTAAAAATCTGACTCTCTCCGGTTTGAGCCCCAATTTCTTCAAAGACTCGTTAACTCTCATTAATTACTTTGAATAAAGATCAGCATCGACGATTTGGCCAGGTTTCAGCACTTCATAATGCACCAATCCCTTGAAGTTCCACCAGCAACAGAGCATTATCTTCTTCCCATGGATATCAGGTTTGGGAGTGGTTTAAGGGGTCTGCCCAGCAGATAGCCATTGATTTTTGCGTTTAACGTTCTCGTAGTTGATCCACGTTTCGTCAGAAGTCAAAACCCTGTGAAAAAGTCGTTTGATTTACATTTTTGTAGCAAAATTGAGGCGACATTGACACGGGCCATTTTGTTGCTTTGGGTCAATTCGTGAGGAACTCATTTTCCAATACGATTCTTTTTCCCAAGTTTGTATAAATAGTTTTCGATTGTCGTATGGGATACTTAAAATATTTCTGCCAACTCACGAACCGTGAGTGTTGGGCAATCTTCAATTAAGGCGAGCAAGTCATCATCGACCACTTCTGGAGGATATCATTGGTGTGGCTCGTCTACGAGGCTTTCATCGCCGCCTTGGAATCTTTGAAACCATCGTTGACATTGCCCAATGTTTATACTTTTCTCTCCAAAAACAGTGATGATCGTGCGATGAGATTCAGCTGGTGATTTTCCTTGTTAAAAATCGTAGAACAATACAGCTCGAATACGGAATTTTTTTGTCCTCCATTTTTTGCCAAAAAGCGAATGATGAAATTCGGAGCACTAAATGTTATTTATGCAGACATCTTTTACTTTGTATATATGCAAAAAAGAGGGAAGAAACGGTGCTTGAAATTACAAAAAACATGTTAAGTAGTGACGCGTCATTATTAAGTTGCCAACCTAATAGATCAATTAGATTAAGAAGCTTGATTAATTAGATCAATTAGATCAATTAGGTCAAGCAGATCAAGAATATTGATCAATTAGATCGATCAGAGCAAGAAGCTTGATCAATTAGATCAATCAGAGCAATCAGATCAAGAATATTGATCAATTAGATCAATCAGATCAAGAAGCCTGATCAATTAGATCAATTAGATCAAGAATATTGATCAATTAGATTAATCAGAGCAAGAAGCTTGATCAATCAGATCAATTAGATCAAGAATCTCGATCAATCAGATCAATCAGATCAATCAGATCAAGAAAGAAAGTTCCAAATACTAAGTAAAAGTCTTTTACAATAGTACAGCACAAAGTGAAGCTGAAATCTAGACTGTAAAGCACAGAAGCCACCAATATAAATGGTCAAACATGTCCCACGATCTGTTGATCAAGTCTTTCAATGGAAATGGGCAAGGTTTCATGCAAATATTTGATCTCTTTTGGCCTCTTTTGTCTCTTTTGTCTCTTTTGTCTCTTTGGCCTCTTTTCTCATGACCATTTCCCCTTTTGTCTTTTCTCTCTTCCCCTTGTCTCTTTCATCCATTGTCAAGCTGGGTCTTCATTGGAAAAGTGAATAAAAGTCTTGATTTGGTAAAGAATTGATCTCTCGACCTTCTGCTTACCACTTAGCTATTGACAGATGCTCTACCACTGAGCTATCGGCGTTTAAAGTGTTTCAAGAAAGTGTTTAAAGAAAGCGTTTAAAGAAAGTGTTTAAAGAAAGCGTTTAAAAAGGCGTCTAAAAAGGCCCAAGAAGAAATAGGAAAGACAAGAAAGAGAAAGAAAGGAAGAAAGGAAGATAGGAAGATAGGAAGATAGGAAAAGGAAAGACAGAAAGAAAGAAAGAAAGAGAAGGAATGAGTTTTAAGCTCTAGACTAATACTGTACTGTAAAACCTGAGGAGCAGCAGCTGCAGGTCCTCTTGAACGCACAGTAGTACGGTATCATTCTGGGCTACAGTAGCTATCCTTTGAAGCTACGTACTGTAGCTGAAATAAGTACTTTCTTTCAGCTACAGTACCCTTAAAACTACAATTCTCTTCGAAGCTACAGTACCCTTGAAGCTACAGTACTCTTTACAGCTACAGTATTATTGAAGCTAAAGTACAGAGTAGTGCAAAATTACCCGTGCACCAAAGTTGTTGTTGTTATTGTTCCAAATCTATTGCTTCAATCTTGTCAAAGGCATTTCTAGTGCATTTTGCCCCATCCTGTACTCCTAAAGCTCTAGTTTTCTTAAAGACAATAAAACGCGAATTTTATAAAACGTTTATCCATTTATCATTTGAATAAATTCAATAAATTGAAGAAATCCGAAACTCTTGCTACAAAATGAGTCGAACAAGTTGATGTCGATCAGTGCCATCGACACATTTCACAATTTGTTCTCCCGTTGTATCCGACAAGATCTCCGTGTGCAGCAATTGTGCTTCGACTTTGAAACCGAGTTGCTCGACGAAGAGCTGAAAGAGCTTTGGGCTTGTAAAGTTGAGTTGGATACTGTAGCAGTTTGAAGTACTGTAAGTACTCTCTACTGTAAGTACTCTCTACTGTAAGTACTCTCTACTGTAAGTACTGCAAGTACTCTCTACCATTTCTCATCTATTATCATACCTTTTGTGATTTGATCGCTGCAGCAATGGCGCAAACTGCTTGCAATCCTTGTCTCTTCCATTCTTCTCTATCAAATGTCACCAATTTCTTTGCCAAACCTAAAGTTTTAAGCTCTAGATCTTTTACTAAAGTTACGTAAGTTTTATAATATTTTTAGGAATATAATTTCTTCGAATAGACGCCCAATAGACGTCCGCCCTACCCGACTTTACTATTGACGTTTTCTGTTGGCTTTTTTTCTTATAAGCAGACGTTCTCAAAATTGCTTTATTTGTTAATCTTCGTTTCTTTATGAATCATTTTGTTTGTGTCATCGATAGCTACGGACTACGATAGCTGTGGACTAAGATAGCTACGGGCTACGATAGCTACGGACTACGACTGTCTGTCTTGCTGTCTGTCTTGCTGTCTGTCTTGCTGTCTTTGTCTTGATCAATCGTGATCAATCGTAAGAAGGTCAAGAAGTTTTGCGTAAAATCAAAGCTCTATTTGGGCTTCGTGGATGAAGTGAATTTAATGACCGAGTTTCTCAAGCTCATTCTGGGACAATGTTTAGTAAGAGGCTGTGTTTAGTAAGGCTACTCGTGTGAGACTCATTTCTATCAAATATCATTCCTTTTTTGTTCACTTTGTTTCTTCAATTCTTTTTTGTTCACTTTCCAATTCTATTCAGAATTTGGTTAAACTCGTTGTCGAGCTTTTGTTTTAAAAAAGAATTACCTAAATCTTTCGTCTGTTTAAATATAGTGTTAAATAAAGATTGTTAAATAAAGATCGTTCAATAAAGATCGTTTTAAATATATTGTTAAATAAAGATCGTCAATGAATCAAACTATATCGTTAGCACATCAAACTGTATCCTTAAGGAAACACAGACGAATCCAGGCCTAAACCCAAGCCTAAACCCAGACCTAAACCCAGACCTAAACCCAGACCTAAACCCAGACCTAAACCCAGACCTAAACCCAGTTTCGTGCCTTTCAAAGCTTTAACCTTGTCTCGTGTAATCCAAACGAACAGATATCAATGAAATCCAGAGAATTCGGTTCACATCTGATGGCAAAATGTCCCAAAGAGAGATCTGAAAGAGATTTCTCATTCAATTCAAAACATTTTCTCAACTTTTTCGAAAAGTTTTCGATTGAATTCCATGAATGGATGTTTCTTGTCATCGGCTTTATCAGTTTTAATATAAGTCGGTTCATCTCTCGTTCGAATGGTGGCACTTCTAAGGAGATTTGTGGAGAAAGAAATTAGATGAAAGGATGAATTGAGTGAATTTCACTCGAATTTCACTCGAATTTCACTCGAATTTCACTCGAATTTCACTCGAAATTAAGTCAACTTATTGATTTATTTAATTCTATTTATTTAATTCTATTTATTTAATTCTATTTGTTTAATTCTATTTGTTTAATTCAATTGTTTAATTCTATTTATTTAATTAATATGGTTCCGATATGGTTCCAATATGTTCCTTCCAGGAATATGGATCAATTTATTTAATTCAATTTCTCGAATTCAATTTCCCTCACCTCAACGCCACAATTTCCCCGTTTTCATTTCGAAGATAGTACGCGAAACCGGCATTGATTCCCTTTGTGACAACGCCTAAAAGAGAAATTTTGAATTCTCTTTTAGGCAATTTGATTCTTAATAAGTGAAGCTTTTTCTTCTTATTTCTTCTCATTTCTTCTTATTTATTACTTATCTTTAACCTGAATATCTTTTAAATCCTAATCCTAATCCTATCCTTTCAAAAAAAGCACAAACTTCTTGTCGTCGGTTCACTCATTTCCCTTGGCACTTTCATAATACTCAATGGATCATTTCTGAAACATTTTTCCTTAATTTACTGAGTTTGGGAGCTTTTCTATTTTACTCTATAATTCGACTTCCAATTATCAGATCGACTTGAGGTTGCTTTTAGTAGAATCTTCATTAAATTTGGCTATAGAAAAGTGGAATTTGTTTTGTATACTCTTTCAGAAGAACATAGAGGAAATTTGTCTCAAAGTTGACCTTCCAAATAGGAGTCTCGGAGTTTGGGGACTTCTCTATTTTGCTCTATAATTCGACTCCCAGTAATCAGATAGACTTGAGGTTGCTTTTAATAGAATCTTCATTAGATTTGGTTATAGAAAAGTGGAATTTGTTTTGTATACTCATTGATAAAAACATAGAGAAAAGCACTCTTGAAAAGTGCCGTTTTTCTAGAGTCAAAATGGCACTTTAGTGCACTTTTCTATTTTACTTCTATTCTACTTCTATTTTACTTCTACTTTACTTCTATTCTACTTCTATTCTACTTCTACTTTACTCTTTAAAATGCTTTTTAAAACAAATCGATTTTGAATTTTATTAAATTCAAATTCAAATTTTAAACTAACTTGAAAAAATCCGAGTATAAATAGTCGATAATTTCATCGAGATCCTCGATTTTTGCTTGAATTGGCTCAAAGGATTCACTCATTTTTTAAGGAAATTTGTAGAAATTTGTAGAAATTGTGTAGAAATGTGTAGAAATCTCAAAATCTATTCTATATTTATAGATTTCTTGTAGTCTAATCGGTTGTGCAATCAGAAGAAATAACGAAAAAAAAAAAGGAGAAATCGATCATTTTTGGGAAAAGAAAGGCTCAAATCACAAAAAGGAAAAGACAAAAAGGGAACAAAGATGAAAAAATGGGGAAAATGATGGGAATTGTGCAATCGGAAAGAACTCAACAGATCTATCAACAATTCGATAACACTTTGCATGCACTACACTTTCCCTAGAATCTTCCTATGCACTCACTGTGAACCTTAGAAGTTATTTGAGACAAGTACCGCTCCGTTTTGTATTTGGGTACCGCTCCGTTTGGTATTTGAGTACCGTTCAAGATTTATCGCGAAAAGTAGATCACTAGGTTTAGCGGTTTAAAGCTCATTTTGTACAAGTTCGAAGATAAAAAGGAACACGCATATCAATACGCCCATTAGAACGATTAAACGATCGAGCGACCGATTGAACGACCGATTGAAGGACCGATTGAACGGAATAGGTCCAACAAACCTCTTCCGTTAGACGACAGAATTGTTTCAAGACAACAAAAACCTCAACAAATCATAGTTGCAGTGTCACTCATCGCTCAACTCAACAACAGCAACAGCAACAGCAACAGCAACAACAACAGCAACAGCAACAGCAACAGCAACAGCAACAACAACAGCAACAGCAACAGCAACAACAGCAACAACAACAACAACAACAACAACAACAGCAGCAGCAGCAGCAGCAGCAACAGCAACAGCAACAACAACAGCAACAGCAACAACAGCAACAACAACAACAACAACAACAACAACAACAACAACAGCAGCAGCAGCAACAACAGCAACAGCAACAGCAACAGCAACAACAACAGCAACAGCAACAGCAACAGCAGCAACAACAACAGCAACAGCAACAGCAACAGCAACAGCAACAACAACAGCAACAGCAACAGCAACAACAGCAACAACAACAACAACAACAACAACAACAACAACAGCAGCAGCAGCAGCAACAACAGCAACAGCAACAGCAACAACAACAGCAACAGCAACAACAGCAACAACAACAACAACAACAACAACAACAACAACAACAACAGCAGCAGCAGCAACAACAGCAACAGCAACAGCAACAACAACAACAGCAAGTTACTTGTACTTGTAATTGTTTAACCGCGAGGAACATACTCTAAGGGGTACACTAGGCGGCGGTACTCTGAAAGTATAGAAGTGGGCTAATAGAAGGGCTAAATAAAATTAAGTTTGGATAAATGCAACTTTGCGTGCAGTACTATTAGAGTAAATACGAGTAACTGCTTTTTTTTTTCTTGCAATCATTTTCCTTTTCACACGAATCACTTTCAAATACTAAAAAAAGCCGAAAAGCTTTTATCGATGGGATTTTATTTGCGCCTTTTCTTTTTCTTTTTTCCTCCTTTTCTTCTCAATCTAATTTCCACGTGAAAACGATCATTTTATAGCAAAATTTTGCCCTTTTTCCTTTTTTGATTACTCATTCTTCGATTTCACCTTAAATTTTCGTCAAAAATGGTTTGTTTTTCTTGTTTTTCTTGTTTTTCTTAGAGATTTTCTTAATTTTAATTATTTTAGTACAATGCGTATGGAAATCAACGTGAGTTTTGTTTTGTTTGTTATTTTATCTTTCAAATTCTTTGGCAAACCGTATTTGGGCGTACTTTTGTATATAAAATTCGAATTTAGGCATCATTTTGCATTTTTAGTTATTTAAAATCAAAAAACGCAAAAATCGAGGGTGTTCCTATCATTTTGCAACGCACTGTATTATCAAATTGATATATTGAAATACGAGAGATCGATTTTAGCCAATCAAAATCCCCCACCGCCAGGCCATCCATCAAACTATCCATCAAACTATCCATCGTATCCACCGCCTCCAGGAATGCCCATCCCACAGAGTGCTTCTTCTTCTCCATATCCACAACCGTATCCACCACAAGGTATTTAATAAATCTTTTGATCTTCTGATTCTAGAAATCTTCTGATCTTTTGATCTTCTGATTCTAAAACCTTTAAAACTGATTAAACAATGTTAGACAAGGTTAGACAAGGTTAGACAAGGTTAGATAAAGCCAGATCCAGGCTTTACGTGAACTCCGTTTTAGAGTGTGTCCCTTGTGAGTAATGCATTTTTTAAAACGCACACTTTAAACCGCACACTTTTCGCTAAAAGTACGCATTAGTGTACTTTTAGCGAGAATTGACGCTAAAAAATCACGAGCGCCTCCTTATATACGACTCCTTTTAAAGAGATTCAGCTATTTAAGTGATTTGGTGAGAAATTTCCTTTAAAAGTAAAGATATTCAGTTGTTTAAATGGTAAATTCCCTTCAAATGTAAACAAATTCGATTTACGCGACGTGTAAAGAGGATTACTCGTAGTTACTCGGCCAGTAGACTTGCCAGAGTAGATTTGCTTAACGATTCTTAACGATTTTTAACGATTTTTAAAGATTAATCAGATTAAGATCAGTTAATCGAGTACAACTAACTCATGCAAATTTTACTCAAGGAACACACTCTAAACAGTTTTTGCGTGGGTTTGTGGACCAAATCCGCAGTAAATGAGGTCGGTTTTGATCGATTTTGATCGGTTTTGATCGGTTTGGATCGGTTAGGATCGGTTAGGATCGGTTAGGATCGGTTTGGATCGGTTTTGATCGGTTAGGATCGGTTTTGATCGGTTTGGATCGGTTTGGATCGGTTTGGATCGGTTTGGATCGGTTTTGATCGGTTTTTGATCAGTTTTGATCGGTTTTGATCGGTTTTGATCGGTTTGGATCGGTTTGGATAGGTTTGGATCGGTTTGGATCGGTTTTGATCGGTTTGGATCGGTTTGGATCGGTTTGGATCGGTTTGGATCGGTTTGGATCGTTTAGGATGCCCTGGCTTGACCCTGGCCTTGTCTAAGCTGAAACATCAAAATTTGAGAACTCTTTATGAAGAAAATTTACTCCTAGACACTAATCTTAGCTTCAGTTCTACACAGCGGAACTCCAGGACATCCTGTAATGTCTGGTCATCCAATGCCACAACCTGGTTCGGTCTTTTAAGCGAATCTCTAGCTCTAGCCCTAGCTCTCGCTCTAGCTCTAGCTCTAGCTCTAGCTCTAGCCCTAGCTCTAGCTCTAGCTCTAGCCCTAGCTCTAGCTCTAGCTCTAGCCCTAGCTCTCGCTCTAGCTCTAGCTCTAGCTCTAGCTCTAGCTCTAGCTCTAAATCAAAATTTCAGGGAGTCACTGTGGTGCTTGTCCGAGTCAGCCCTATCAACAGATTGGAATCGGTCATGGAGCACAGCCAGGTAAAATTCGGTAAAAACTAGATACTATAAAATCGAGAAACCCAGCTAATGTAAGCAATGACAAAAAGAGCTAAGTTTTAGCACATGGAGTTCATCCAGGCTATCAACCCTGCAACTGTGGGTTTGTTACTATTCAGTTTTTTTTTAAAAACCAACCACTTTCAGTCAAAAGAAGTGTAAAGCTTGCAAAAAGGAGAGAAAAAGAATAAAGAAAATGATGAAAAAAGAGAAGAAAAAGCATCATGGACATGGAAGAAAATCATCGAGTTCATCATCGTCTTCATCGAGCTCATCGGATTGAATTTGTTTCATGCTTTGTTTCATGCATCTGTTTACTTATAATATTTATGCTTTACATGAATAAAATAGCTTTCTTTTGATTGCTAAACTATTGCTTTCTTTTTCTTTTCTTTTCTTTCAAAAGGTATAATTTTCTAGAGAAAAAACGAGAGACTCCTTTCACCATTGGAGATTAGTTGTATCAAAGTGAATCATTGTATCAAACTGAATCATTTTTGAGCACAAAACTGTTCCAAGATAACTTTTGGTGAAGATGCTTGACTTTTGGAAACGATGATGCGATTTATGCTGATTATTATGGTGAAGAGTATGAGAATCAAGAGATTCCTGAGTCACAATTACAAGCTGTCGATGAAGAACTGGAACCTCATGGACAATCAGGTTATTTCAGTACAGGTCGGTCATTTCACAGGGACTCCCCTCTAATACGTTTGATGGCAACCTAAGCAACGGCAAGAATTCACCCGTTTAGCAAAATTCATCAACTTTTCTTTAAAACATAGCAATAAAAAGTAGACGAAGCAAGATTGGCGTCAACGTGGCACTTTCTTGTCTTTGTGCGATGCATTTGTGTATTCCATACAATTAAAAGTTTTGTGAAAGGAGGCAGATCGAGGCCGGGTCTTAAACAAAACTTTTTTGTTTACATTTTATAAAACATTACATTTTATTATAAAAAACACCATGTTTTGAGCATGTTTTGACTTTTATTTTTAATTTTGGAATACTCCGACTGTAGACAGAGTCAGAATAATAAGGATAAGGGAAACAGATAATGAACCAAATTTAGAGAGATAAGGAACCAAGTTTGTAGAGATAAGGAACCAGATTTAGAGAGATAAGGAACCAAATTTAGAGAGATAAGGAACCAAATTTGTAGAGAGATAAGGAACCAAATTTAGAGAGATAAGGAACCAAATTTAGAGATAAGGAACCAAATTTGTAGAGAGATAAGGAACCAAATTTAGAGAGATAAGGAACCAAGTTTGTAGAGATAAGGAACCAGATTTAGCAATAAGAAGTAGATAAAGCAAGATTGGCGTCAACGTGGCACTTTCTTGTCTTTGTGCGATGCATTTGTGTATTCCATACAATTAAAAGTTTTGTGAAAGGAGGCAGATCGAGGCCGGGTCTTAAACAAAACTTTTTTGTTTACATTTTATAAAACATTACATTTTATTATAAAAAAACACCCAACTAGCATGTTTTGACTTTTAGTTTTAATTTTGGAATACTCCGACTGTAGACAGAGTCGGAATAATAAGAATAAGGGAAACAGATAAGGAACCAAATTTAGAGAGATAAGAAACCAAATTTGGATAAGGATGACTCATCCTCTCGGTAACTTCACAATCAGACTGAGGACATGAAATAAAAAAGGTTTATAGATAATATAATTGAATTTGAAGAAAGATTCACCACTTTATTCATCTATATTTACCCAAAAACCCTTTATTGAGCTATATTATGCAGGATTATAGCGACAATGAGTTCAGGGGTCATTAATCGCAGTTTTACGACTGCATCTTCACTTTTTTATGTTTTTCTCTTTTCTTAGACTTATTGTAACTCTTTTACGCATTTCAATTAGATTTTTACAGGACGGCACTATTGTGCATCGCTTAGCATCAGCAATGTGTTTCGGCGACATCGCCTCCATAGACATATTCCTGAATCGGGGCCAGCTCTACCAATTAACCTTGAATCGAGCACTTATCTACCACAAATATTTCAACATTCTCTCACTTTTGAAAACACCAGAAACAGAAGAGAATTGCTGGATGAGTTCTGGAGGGAAAACACACAGAGTTCTCAACGTGCTGTAAGTGATCTCACTGTAGTTTCTCATTGTCGTAAATTTGCTCACTGTCGTAAATTTGCTCACTGTTGTAAAACTGACACGTTTTCGAAAAGCCCATTTCTTCAATTTTCTGCTGGGTGATTTTTGCGACATGCGGCCGAGCGATGTCGTGGAGGAATTTTGTCGACGCCGTATCCACACCTTGACGTCGCAGATTTTGATAAACCTCATGTTTTAGGAATTGGAAGGACTGCCGCTATTCGATCGGAAACGATTTTCTCGTTACAACTGGAGATATATTCAACAGGTTTTGATTGAGCTTTGGCCAACAGATCAGCGTCTTTTTGATGTGAGTTAAAATGAGGAACCAAATCATATCTAATTTTAGGCAGCAATTCAAACGAATTACCCCCAGAAGGGTCTCCTTCACACATTGCTTCGTCATCACAGTCAATGGGCAAATGTGATTCCGAAATTCAAATCTCTACTAGAGAAACTCAGCTCCAGTTTTCGAGATGCTTTGAACGAGATTAGTGTTCAGACAAAACCAGAAGAGGCTAGAGATTGTCTGAATCAATTCCAGAAGAAAATATTGCCAAGCATTTTGGATCATAAAGGACATCGTAAAGGTGGGCAATTTGATGAAAGATTTGGCTTTAATTGATGATGAAGGATTTGATCTCATTGACATTTAGTGCTTGGTGAACTCTCGGCTTCTATTCACAATTTTCTCTACGAGAATCTCAAACACGAAACCTTCTTGGGTGGAGGAGTAAACCGGCATCAACAAATACAAATCTACTTCAAGATTAACAATACCAATTCCAAAGAGCCAGTGCTAGTTATTTGTCCATCAAAAACATGGCACAAATCCCAAGATCTTAATGTGATCTATCGAAAAATTATCACTGTCTTTTTTATTGATGAAGAAACTGCGAATAGTAGGTTGATCAACGTAAAGGAATGGCTTGTCCCGTCTTCTAGCAACTTCCAATAAAACTTCCCGTTCCAGTTCTCTGTCCCACCAAACACGTAACATGATCTTCTTCTGGTAAATTTCAGGGCTTGGGGTCGGGCTTTGGTTTTTTTTGGTTTGGAGCTCAGGCTCAGACTTGGACTTAGTGCGAAGGCTAGCGGCTAACCCAAATAGACTTAGTGCGCCTCGCACTGTCTAGTCTAAAAAATGTAGTTATAAAAAAGGAATCAAAGCTTTGCAACAGGCACTAGTCTCTAGTATGATTGTATCGTAACACTGAAGAATTGATTTTCAATGTCTTTATGGGCAAAAACTTTATTTTCGAAAGCTTACTGCACATCTAAATGAAACATGAGAAAAGTGGCATAAATTTCTGATAAAAAACAAATCATTTCTACAAATTCAAACCAAAAAGAAGAAAAGTCGGAAGTGATCACAATATGCTGATAAAGAAATTCTCAAAAATAATGTAGAATAGAAATTTGTAAAATGGGGAAATAAACAAATTCGATAAACAGAAGTTTAGATTTTACATACAAGCTCAAATTAAACATCGCAAACTAACACTCAGAATAATGAAAAGGGGAAATGAGGGTATTTTTGAGGGGGGAAAATGGCAGAATTGCTTATCGATAAAGATAGAATGTACTGAATATTAGGAAATTTGTGATAACTTATATTTTTTCTATTGTACCCTCCATCTATGAGCAATTCTATTAAAAAGGGCAGGCTATTCAATAGATTTCTCATGCAAAAATGTACACCGCAGTTTTTGTTTCTGGTCTTGATTTGAAGGTGGAAAGGAGATGAACTCAGGATATCACTTTTTACAACAATAAGAATTCAAAGTTGGAATAAATTAGTGCAGTACTTTTTCATACGAAAAAGTAATATCCCGATCGTTCGACTAATTAAAGATTGACATAATAAAGCGTTTACCCTTATAGAATATCTGATGAGGGAGGAAAAATATTTAAAAAAGAAAACTAACCACTAAAACGTAGCTAGAATCGGGGAAAACAAAGTCGTTAAAATCCTTATTTGTCCATTTCTAAGCATTTGATTCTCCTTGTAGACGGCGAACGCGTACTGGAAAGAAAAAAATGTTGTCAAACTATGTATAAGAAAGTTTGAGACGAGAAAATTAAATTAAGTCACAAAAAATTAGAGTAAAATGGAGTAAAATAGATCCAATTTTCGATAGAGTAAAAACTTACTTCGTTCATAATTTCTCTCAAGCGCTTCTGCTACACGATGTCGAGCTTCCATTGATTGAAACGCAATGCCGACTCGTAAAAGAGCTTCATTCTCTTCCACCGTCAACATCATATCCATTTCGATTTGATTACCGAGAACGCCTTGTCTCTAAAATAGTAATAATAAACCAGTCTAGCTGAACTTATTAAGAGATCAATCTCTTGGAGATCGATAAATACGAACTTCTTAAGAATTATCTGGGTTTTGAAAGATGAAATTTAATTATCTGGGTAGTAACAACTTCAAAGATTTGCTTGGAAGCAAAAACGTACCTGATTCTCAGCGTGGAACTCAATAATGGATTGGGTTTTGAGGGTGGCTCGGAGCAGTCGTGCCAACATTTCGGGCGTGATGAAATTTGATTCGATATTGACCACCTTCAACGATGGAGAATTCTCGATCAACTTCTCTATACACTAAACAAAAATAATTAACAAGGTCTAACGATCTTTTTTTCTTTAAATTTCTTAAAAACAAACCCTAGCTTCTGTGTCTGCAATGGCTGTATTGGAGAGGCTGAAACTTTCGATGTGCTTAGAATTTGAGGCCGCGTCGATCAACTGCCGGATTTTCTCCTTTGATACCTAAATGATGTATTTTATTTGTTGAAAAAGGATTCAATAAGAATAAAGATGAATCGACTCACCCGTTTCATGTTATTTATGTTCACTGTCTTCAACGAGCTGTCATTATCGTGCAACCGACTAAAATAAGAATTTAAAAGCTTTTTAAAAAAACACTTACTTGATACAATCATCAACATCTGTTACATTTTCGGGCTCATCGGGGTAGACCTTTGGCTGATATGAAGGAATGGCACCACTAAAAAAATGAGAATTACAAAATGCTTGATAAATTTCAAAGCTATTTATTTTTCAGGCAAAAAAAATTTACCTAAATGTTGTGCCTGAGTTCTCATCCTGTCCTTTTCCTTTCAAAGCATTGTAGAATTGGGGCTGATTGAGTACTGAGTGCATCCCTAAATAATAAAACCGTTAAAGCATTTAAAGAAAACAAATATTTACCTAGAATTCCAGCCAAGTCGACGAGATCATTCTCGGGTGCTTTCTTCAGTGCTCGTTCAATTACAATCTAAAAAATAACTTAATGTCTTTGCGCGCAAGTTATGTCTTACTTCTTCATCTTCGACACTCATTTCATCATCATCGGGATCAGCCAAATCGAGGGCAATCGGCATCTAAAATGGGAAAATCTTTGTTGAAAAGCTAAAAAAAGCCTAAGCCAAAGCCAAAGTGTTACCTCCATGCCCCCAATTCCTGAACCTTTGCCTGACGGGGCTGCATTCTCATCAACGAATCGGCTTCCTAAAATAAAAGCGTTAAAACGTTACGAATAGAGTAGCGTTACGAGTAGCAGCTTATAAAGTTCGAACTAAAAACAAACCTCGGACCATTCCCTTTTGAAATGGCACAACTTCGTCCCAATCTTTCTCATTTTTCGCCGTGTCTTCAAGGAATTGCATCAAACGTTCTCTCTAAATTAACTAAAAGTTAAAAACGAATAAGTTTACGAAGCAACGCCATCTTTTTAACAAATTTAACGCCTTTTAACAGCGCCATCTTTTTAACATCTTTTAACAACGCCATCTAATGTGATTGCCTTTGTTGACACTAACTTTACAAAGCAAAATCTTAATTTTTGGTACTTTGGTGGTTGAGAGGGACCACTTTTATCCTGGCTTAGTTGGATTTAATATTTTGAGTCGTTGTATTAATACTTTTTATCTACCTATTTTGAGTGGTTGTATTGATACTATCTAGGGTAATCAAATATGCGTATACTTTTAGAGCATTTACAACATGTTTCAAGTTTCATATTGCCGTTTTTATTTGATTTATTTGATTTTCAAGTAGCGATAGGGTTTGGTGGTTAAAGTACATGAGATTAGGCTAGAATTGCCCAAAACTTGCTAAAATAGTCACCAATCTATTAAGCATATTTGACCTTAGAATAGATAAAAGATATCAATACAACCACTCAAAACATTAGACCCAACTAAGCCAGGATAAAAGTGACCCCTTCCAATCACCAAAGTACATAATTTTTATAAAAAAAACTGCAAGCTTTACCTTATAGGGCCCAGTGGGTGCCTTGCTCGTTTGTTCTTGACATCGTTGCGATGGAGGAAGCATCGAGTTCTTAAGAATAAAATTAAAATCATTTATTTTTTTTTTAAAAACCCCCAAAAACTTTCAACCTTTCAAGCAAAATTTTCCTTTCGTAATTCATTTTGTAAACAGAACGAGGGAAAATTTGTGAGCAAAACGACTTTTCAATGGAATTCGTGTTTGTTTTCTACTTGGTTCAAAGCGCGCAAAAGGAAAAGTTAAAGAAAGCTTTAGCTGTGCCACCAAAATTGTGAACATGATTGGTTAAATATTTGCAAACGATCAAACACCAAGATATTCAGTGAAGTTATAGACAAAAGAGGCTGTAAAATGGATTACCTCGTAGGCAAAGATCAATTACCATAGGAAATCTCCTTTAAGAATGATATAGAAACGTTTTCTGGGCAATGTTTTTTCATTCGTGTCTCTTTTTCCCTCCGGACAGGTTGGTTTTTTTAATCTTTTTATTCAAATTTAAAGTTTAGATCGTTTACCCGTTTTCCGGTCGTTTTAAACATTTAAAATAAAATTTGTTTTGACTTTAAAGGGATATTCCGGCCTAAAAGTTGACTTTCAAGAATGGCGGTTATTTATATATTATTCGATGCGTTTTAGTCTTCTCTACAACTATTTTCTATATGAAAACAAGGTTTCCAATCGAGAAATGAAGAAAAACGCAATTTTTGCTTTCCTTTCCACCCTAAAACGTGGATATTTGGGCGAGAAGTATATAAAGCTTCCGTCCAATTGCACTTTAGCACTTGCATTCTTTTCTTTTGCATGTATTTTCTCAAATTTAACAGCAATCTTAAATATTTTTTTGTTAATGGAAAATATTACATCCTAAAAGAATAATTAACAAAAGGTGAAAGTCAGACTTAAGAAAACGTGAAAAACAGGTGCCCAATTTAACACTGACTTTCCTTAGGCCAGAGTATCCCTTTAATGGCTGTATTTCCCTTTTTTAATGGCTTTAATTCTTAAATCTAAGCTCTAAACGTTTAAATTTCACATTTGACTGGAATAATTTGCTTTTAGCATCTCGAATGACTGCGAAGACGAAAGGAACTCTCGAATGTCAAATTGGGCCAAAAGGACTCGCAAAAGGATTGGCATTGAAATCAAGGACGATAAAGTTTTTTTCCAAGGTATTCTGAAATAATGTTTGTGTTTAGATCATCAAAGTCTTTCCCTCATTAGCTTTTCTTGGACAACTCTTCGCTCATTTTCTTCTATTCAGTCATGCTGATTGTGGCTTTTTGTGTGCATCAAAGGTTCAATTTGGGAAAGTATTAAACTTGTACGTAAAGAGTGAAAAAGCAAGAAATGTTGTGGGAAGAAGGAAAGTGGAAAAGCAAATCATAAACTCACATCAGGATCGAAGTCATTGTTAAGATCTTCCAATTCAGCGGCACTCAATTTCCCTAACATTCCTTCGAAATCGACATCATCAACGTCCTGGAAAATAATGTGTTTTCTTTTGTTTTTGTGTGACACAGTAACAAAGTTGTTACTCTTTAGTGACTCAGAAATCTATACAAAAAAAATATACAAAAAAATGTTTAACAAAGCGCATTTCTTTATGGCCAAACGTAAGTGAAAACGAAAAATTTTTGTGAAAAATAGCTTGAAGTTTGTTTTAGATCTCAAAAATGAACAAAATCATCAATTTTGTTTTTTTTAAGATTTTCTCACCGAGAAAAAGGCGTCATCTATGGAGCCTCGGCTCTGAAGATTTCGGCTTTTATGGAGGGGAATTGTAAGCATAGGAATTTTAAAAGCATAGGAATTTTAAAGATATTCAGTGAAGGATATATGAAATGAAAAGTTGAGAAGAAAAGTGGTTTTGGCAGCGATTTTATGAAACATATGGAGGAATAGACAAAAAATTGGAATGGAATGAAAAAAGGGAAAAAAGCGATTGGGAATCCGCTGGGATCCGCTGGGAAAATGAATTAATTTAGATTCTGTAAATGGAAATACAATACTTTTCTTTCGTCTTGGAAACCTGTAAAGAGTATGACAACGGAAGGTCAACTGTCAAACAAAAAAAGAGGTCATTTGGGTCTTAGTGATTTTCTCGCCGGTCCGCTTCCCTTCAGCTGTAGCCGAGTGGTAGAGCGTTCGTTTCTGGAGCGAGACCTCGCGGGTTCGATCCCTGCTAGCGGCTTTTCTTTTGCGATCCTTTTGAAAATTATGGTGGAAAGAAAAAAGTGTCTAGAAGATAATCTAGAAGATAATTGCAATCTTGAAAGAACAAAAATGTGGTCATTTGGTCAGAAAATGGAATTGAAAGAGTTGAAGCAATAAAAACGTTCTTTTATTGTATATGTTTTCCTTGAAAGAGACAAACCTTCAATCCTTTCCCATATATCTTATTTCCGGGTCCTCCAGTCGTGCCCGTTTGGGTCCTCGAGCCGGGCGCCGCAAACGTTTGCTCTTCCGCATAGTAACTGAAAAAAAAGAGAGATTTGTAGAGAAAAAGATAAAGAGATCAAGGATTTCGCTGATTTCTTGTCTAGTTGCCTTTTAGATCAATTAGAATGGTGCTTGACTTCTAACTAATTGATACTGATGTTAGTATCAATTGTTTCTTAATTGTATCAATTTGTTTTGTACTTCTCTTTCAATTTTTAAATGCAAATTGTTTCTTAAAGAGCCTTAGAAAGCATCTAATCCCTAGATGATCACAATTTTTGACTAACTACACAGTTTTCCCTTTCAATCTTTTCTTTTTTCATGATCTCCAATCTTTTCCTTAAATCAAACCGACGTCAGTGTTTGTTGGGATCTTTTGTTTCAATTAATTTTAATGGAGAGTGAGAGATCGATGAAAGAAGTCTAAAGAGATCACGTGGAGAACATGAGATTGAAGGAGAGAAGGAGATAGAGAGGAAGGTGGGAAGGAGAAGAAGGAGAAGAAGGAGAGGAAGAAGAGAAGGAGAGAAGGAGAGGAAGAAGAGAAGGAGAGGAAGAAGAGAAGGAGAGGAAGGAGAGGAAGGAGAGGAGGAAGAGAAGAAGAGGAAGGAGAGAGGAAGAGAAGGGAATGAAGGAGAGAAGGAGAGGAAGGAGAGAAGGAGAAGAAGAAGGAGAGGAAGAAGAGAAGGAGAGGAAGGGAGGAGGAAGGAGAGGAAGGAGAGGAAGGAGGGAAGGAGAGGAAGAAGAGGAAGGAGGAGGAGAGGAAGGAGAGGAAGGAGAGGAAGGAGAGGAAGGAGATAGAGATGAGCAAATGGGGAAAGAATATAAAGTGGGAATCTAGAGCTGGACAGAGATCAGAAAACATCAAGGAAAGGGAGATGGAGAACTTTACAGGAGAGAGACTTTCTCAAAATCAGTCAATAACAACTGCCGCTCAACCGGATGGATCTTTTGAGAAGAGAGGACACAAATAAACGGACAAGGAGGAGGAAAAGGAATGGATCGGATATTGGCCTTTCTCTTTTTCTCTCAACTGGACGCCCCCACCCGCTAGGGATCTCTTGACTAGGGCCATTCCCTGAGATTTGAGCAAGACACTCAGCCATCCTTCTTTTGAACAAAGCAGTGAAATGGAATGAAAATATTGAATTGAATTGAATGGAATGGAATGGAATTTAATTGAATTGAATTGAAGTTTCTCTTTGTTTGCAGTGAGCGCGCCTTGTGATGTCAGGATAAGTTTAAGATCTAAGGATATGTCAGAATCTAGGCTTAGGATCAAGTAAATTGTGGGAAATTGTGAAAGAATGTAGATAGGTTAAAGGAAATAACTGTAAATGCTTAATTTATGGACTGAAGAATGGTACAGCTCTATAGCTGTACCATTCTTCAGCGAGGATCAAGTAAAGAAAGTAGAGAAACATCAAGTAGAGAAAAAACTAAGCCTCAAAAAGTCGCAAGGTTCGATAGTGTATAGATAGAGTTTTTTATTGCATGTTTATTTTAGACTTTAGACCTTTTAATGCGAAAAATCTTACTAGAAAATCCAAGATTCTAAGCTAATTTTGAGAAATAAAGGCATTTTGAGAGGATTAGAATTAAAAAGAGTATTGAATACTAGTTAATCTATCTAGTATCTAGTTAATATATCTAGTATCTAGTTAATCTCATCAAGAAATGATAGCTTTAATCAATTCTTTTGATTTTTTTTGATAAAGAATCAATATTCAACTTATTGATAAGAAGATCGTAAACAGTTTTGGCTATTTTTTTTTTAGTTTTTGTTCACTCACTGCTGTCTCACTCCAATTGGATTCATGAAAGCGTAATCGATAGATTGAGAGATTCGGATAAAGACGAAAAAGGCGGAAAAATGGAAATAGACCTTCTGGAGTGAGGGTGAAGGGAAGAGGAGTCTTTTCCCTCTCTCCCACTCACTCGACGCTCCTCACTCGATTCATCGACCCGCCCTCTTTTCTTCTTTTTCTGCTTCTTTCTCTTCTTCTTCCTCTTCCTCTTCTGCTTCTTTCTCTTCTTCTTTCTCTTCTTCTTCCTCTTCTTCTTCTGCTTCTTTCTCCTCTTCTTCTTCTTCGTCTTCTTCCTCTTCTTCTTTTTCATCTTCTTCTTCTTCCTCTTCTTCTTCATCTTCTTCATCATCATCATCTTCTTCTTCTCCACTCCCACTCTTTTCTAACATAATATCTTGGTTAACTATTGCCAAAGAAACCAAACAAGAAACTTTTTGATTGATAATGCTTGATATTTGATGTTTATTTGATGTTTATTTGATGTTAACTGGTTTCGAGAGAACTGAGCCTAAATGAGAAAACGTTTCATCCAAAACTTTCTATTCAGAATTAGAGTTCCTCTTGAATAATGTTCCTCTTGTGTTCTAAAATGGATCTATTTGAGAAAAATATCGTAGTTAAACCGTTAGTTTTCCTCCAATCAGCCAGATTTTGATATGATTCAATGAGCCTTGTAATTCCACATCGAATTCCTCATCGGCTTGGCTTGGCTCGGCCTGGCTTGGCTTGGCTCGGCTTGGTTTGGCTTGGCTTGGCTTGACTTGGCTTGGCTTGGCTTGGCTTGGCTTGGCTTGGCTTGGCTTGGCTTGGCTTGACTTGGCTTGACTTGGCTTGGCTTGGCTTGGCTCGGCTTGGCATTCAATTCGTGCTTTCAAAATGTCAGCACTTTCTGATGTATCCAGTTCTTCATTTTACTCGATCAGTGCACGAGTGTGTTTACGATTTGAACCCAAAGTCTACTCAAAATTCCTACCAAGCTTGCATTTCCCATTTCATTCTTTCATTTCTCCTTACACCTTCACATTTCCCTTTTCATTCTTCGTCATATCACTATAGTCGACCCTTCTAATCCTTTTACATATGATTTCCTCTCACAAAGCAAACAATTCCCTCTTTTTTTAGTGATTCTTGATGGCGTTAGCTGGCAAACAACAATGTCCACATTAAAATGGAAAAGATGGAGAGTCAGAGATTAGATAGGGAAATCGAAATGGGAAAAAAGGGAGATTTTGGAAGGAAATTGAGAAATGAATGGATAAAGAACAATAGGATTTTTGATTATTTTGGTAATAGATGAAGTGTGAAGCAAGAATGGAATGAGCCAAGAATGGATCAAGAATGAGCCAAGAATAAGCCAAGAATGAATCAAGAATGAGCCAAGAATAAGCCAAGAATGAATCAAGAATGAGCCAAGGATGAATCAAGAATGAACCAAGAATGAATCAAAAACCAATAAAGAATCTAGACTACCTTAAGAATCTAGACTAAAAGACTAAACTCTGTTGTCAAGCTCTGCTGTCAAGCTCTGTTCTCAAATGTTTCTTGAACTTACAAATCAGCCATGCGGAGGCCAGAATGAATTAATGTGGAGAAAAGTCGATTGAAGAAAAAGTTTTCGAGGTAGCAGCAATCAGCAATTCCTGATTCGGTATTCTGTGGACGAAATGGCAAAGAACAAGTGGAGTGGTTGAGCGGAGAAAAGAGAGGGAAAAGTCGAGAAAGCCGATCGATCGATCAACCCCCGCCCGCGGCCACTTTTCCACTCGCACGACGACCGCTTTGCCTTTGATTGGCCTTGAGCCAGTCGCCGCGATGAGGCGACCACCTTGTGTGAGACAGCTGACATTGGGATTGTGAGGTTGGGGAGGAGCTGGGGGATCATCGAGGGAGAGGAGGAGAAGGAGGAGAAGGAGGAAAAGGAGGAGAACAAGAACAACAAATTCCACGCCTGGTGCACTTTTTCGTTTGTTCTTTCGTTTGCCGGCTGGCGCATGACGATTCACGGGTCGAATTGTGTTTGCGGCAGGGAAAACAGAAACTTTGACACTACCATTGTTGATTTAATGATTGGGAAAAGCTATTTACAAAAGTCAGTCCTAGGTTACTGTGAAATTTCGAAGTTCGATACAAAATCAAACGGAGAATGCGAATCTGTAATCAAAATCTATTGAATAGCTTTTAAACCCGAGATTTCCGAGATTAAAGACTTTGCTATACACCCTTAAGTTGAAATATTGAATTAATCAGATAAATCATATCTAATAAAACAAAAAGCAAAGATTTGTTAAGGAGGGGATTCGAACCCAAGGAGCTGAGAACGGCAACCGTTTTGTAATCAAGGACACTATCCACTACACCACGACTGTCGCTTGACAGGGTCACTTGAATTCGACTCAAGAGTGTCACTAAAAGGGGCGGAAGGGGTCGCGACCTCTTCAAATGACATTCTTGAGTCAAACTCACGCGACCCATCGTGCGATGGTTGTGGTGTAGTGGATAGCGTACTCGCCTACAAAACGGTTCCCCGTTCTGGGGTCCGTGGGTTCGACTCCCTCACTTGACAAGGCTTATTTTCCATTAAGATTTTACTCTTTATCAAGATCTTTTTTGCTTTTCATTATTCTTTATGAATTTGTGATCTTGGGCATGGATATTTCGCTTTATTTACCTTTGGAACAAGATAGAATGCCTGTGCACTGATTTCAAACAAACAAACAAATCAAAATAACCCCAAAAAAGAGATCTCCATGCCCAAAATCTAGATTAGTCCTCAGTTTTCCTAGTTTTTCCTAAAAAATCTCTAAACCATGAAACTCTCTCAATCAAAACTATCAAATGTAATCCAAATCGGAAACAGATGTGATGAAGGAAGAGTCGGATTGAAACAAAAAGAATCCCCATCCACAGAATGCATTCAAACACACTTTGAAGGTTGAAGATTGGAGGATTGGAGGATGGGATGATTGGAGGATTGGAGGATTGGAGGATTGGAAGATTGGAAGATTGGAGGATTGGAAGATTGGAAGATTAGAAGAAAGTAGATTAGAAAGAAGTAGATTAGAAAGAAGGAGATTGGAAAGAAATATCAAAAGAAAAAATGAACAAATGAAATGAACAGATCAATTTTAGAATCAATGGGTTTACTGTGGTTTTTGTTTGTACTTTCTAAACTCTACACAGCATTATAGTAGCCAAAATCCTCCGGTAGACTCTTTCAAACTCACTCAACTCCCTTCGAGATTGGACTGAGCGGTCCAATCGGTGAGAACTCAGCCTCTCGAGCGAACATCTGAAAGTGAACGGAAATTAGATTCAACAAAAGAAAACATACCTTTCATTTATCACCAATTTGTTTAAAAGTGAGCTTTTGAAGAGGATTTTCTGAAATTTGAGAGGAAATTGAAATTTGGAGACTGGAGGAGGGATTATAGAGAAAATATTGAACATTGCAGTAAGTTTGAAGTCTAATAAGCTTACAGAAGAGAAAACATAGAACATTGCAGTAGGTTTGAAGTCTAATAAGCTTGCGGAAGAGAAAATATTGAACATTACAAGTCCAGTAAGCCTGTAGTGATCGTAAAACCATATACATTCAGCTTACAGTATTCAAAAGCATTCAAATACGTTTAAAGCCCAATAAATCAACTAAACTCCAAAGTGCAATTCTTTTCCTCATTCCATAGCTTCATATCCTCTCATTCTTTCAACTATAGCTGTATTTCTGCCGTTGATACTGAGAAAAGATTCGAACAGACCAAAGGAATCATTTTCTCATCTCAAATTACCTTTTCTCTGATAAAATGAAGAGAAACTCACGAAGTAACACATTTTTCTCTGATCCTTTCAATGTTCGCTTAGGCTTAAGGATATTTAGGTGATAGATTCACCTCATTTACACAATCAGTAACAATTTGGCAAATAAACCATTAAAGAAACAAGAGAAAGAAGAGAAACAAAAGAAACAAGAAGAAACAAGAAGAAACAAGAGCTTTACAGGATTCTAACAAGAAAAACAGTTTATAGTCAAATCTTTGGGTAAAGTAAGCTAAGCTAAGCTAAGCTTAAGCTAGTGATCAACGAGTGATCGTTTTACCCCAAAAATTGAGTGACATCTGTTTTCACTTGGCGGGAAAATGTTTATTCAAAAGTACACCCAGAAATTTTCATCAAATTGATCAAATTGATCAAAGTCAGATTTTATGTTGAAAAGGAGTTGAAAACAATCAGAGAAAATCAAGAATGAAAACAAAAATGGCTGGGAAATAGGGAATTGAGAAGATTTCTTGAGAAATCATAGCTTTTAGCTTTTATTACAAATTTTCGAAAGATTTCTTAAAGAAACTCTATTATAAGCCCAGTTTTATATAAAAATCTTGATTTTATATAATATTGATCTCAAAATCTTGATCAGAGTTGTTCTAGATTGGAAAAAAACAAAAAAAAACACAAGACTAAAAGTCGTAAAGTTTAAATGTTGCTTTTATCTTATTGTTAAGTGTTAATTTTTGCGCGACGTCGCATTCCAATTGACGTCGCCGACCGCCGCCGCCGCCGCCGTCGTCGGAGGTAGTCGATGGGAGCGCCGCGTCGTCATTTTCTTTTTCTCTCTCATTTCTTTATTTTGCAAAATGATAAAACCACTACGTTTCTTTTTCATTTTATATCCGTAATAACCATTTTTTGCTTGTTCTATTTCTTTAATTTTTATTTTTTAGGAAGATGGGACGTGGAAAATCGCTTTCGCTGATCCAACAGATGAAAATTGCGATTTTGAAAGGAAGAAAGTTGTCGAATCGGGAGATCGCAAGGAAAATGAAGCGCTCGCACCGAGTTGTCGCAAATTTCTTGAAGGATCCTTTCAATTATGGCAGGAAGAAGTCTCCGGAACGTCTTCAGAAGGTCACGGTCCGCGCTGAACGGCATATTGGACGTCTGTTGTCGAATTCGGTGACTACAGGACTTATAAAACAGATGCAAAAGGCGCAGATGCATCCGGTTGACACAAGACAAAAGTGCGTTTACTTTTTTACTTGACAAAAGGATTTCGGAAGGTTGTTATATGCCTCAAAAGTTGATTGCAAAGCAAAAGAGCAATGGAAAATCGCTTTCGCGGATCGAAGAGATGAAAATTGTGATTTTGAAAGGAAGAAAGTTGTCGAATCGCGCAACGTGGCATTCCAATTGACGTCGCCGCCATTTGGAGGTAGTCGATGGGAGCGTCGCGTCGTCGTTTTTAATCATTTCTTTATTTTGCAAAATGATAAAACCACGACGTTTCTTTTTCATTTTATACCCGTAATAACCATTTTTTGCTTGTTCTATTTCTTTAATTTTTATTTTTTAGGAAGATGGGACGTGGAAAATCGCTTTCGCGGATCGAACAGATGAAAATTGTGATTTTGAAAGGAAGAAAGTTGTCGAATCGGGAGATCGCAAAGAAAATGAAGCGCTCGCATCAAGTTGTCGCAAATTTCTGGAAGGATCCTTTCAATTATGGCAGGAAGAAGTCTCCGGGACCTTGCGTTCCAATTGACGTTGCCGCCATTTTGAGGTAGTTGATGGGAGCGCCGCGTCGTCGTTTTTAATCATTTCTTTATTTTGCAAAATGATAAAACCACCACGTTTCTTTTTCATTTTATACCCGTAATAACCATTTTTTGCGTGTTCTATTTCTTTAATTTTTATTTTTTAGGAAGATGTGGCGTGGAAAATCGCTTTCGCGGATCCAACAGATGAAAATTGCGATTTTGAAAGGAAGAAAGTTGTCGAATCGCACAACGTCGCATTCCAATTGACGTCGCCGCCATTTGGAGGTAGTCGATGGGAGCGTCGCGTCGTCGTTTCTTTTTCATTTTTTGAAAATCATGTTGTTTTTTTTGTCATGTTTTTGTAGAGAATAATTGAAAATATTGTTTTATGCGATAAATTTTGTGTTCAAATGAGAAAGCAATCTATTCCATGGTGTCCCACAATTATGGTGACGCGTATCTTACTACGTTTAACTGCTTTCTGTCTTTTTTTTCTCTTTTCGATGTTTTGATGATATGATTTTTTTAGGTATGAAGTCTAAGAAGAAATCCAGCCATTATTACGAAGTCCAACCATTATTACGAAGTCCAGCCATTACTCTTCATCAGCAAGGAAAAACACTCGCAGAGATATCTCGAATCTTGCAGGAAAAGAGACAGGATGTTTTTCGCGCTCTGAAACATTTCAAAGAAACGGGCTCCAATGAAGATCGTAAAGGACGAGATTCACCAGAGAATGCCAACAATTCAACGGTGCTCCATCTCACAAAGCTGTTGATACACAAGGTTGGATCTCTTGAAGGCGAACCATTGCTCGGCAGCGATCGATAATAATGAATTGGAACAATTTATTGAAGCCGATTCAATACAAACAACACGAGAGCTTTCCAAACATCTCCAGTCTTGCTTACATCTCAAGAAGGTTGACCAAATTTTGCATCAAAAGGGTTTAAATCCCTCGACAGTCAAATTTTCTCCGTGACAACGCGCCAGCTCACACAGTGAAAGCTTCTTGCATGGAGTTAGAGGAATTAGGGTGGAAGGTCTTACCGCTAGTCCAGACTTATCACCATTTGGTTTTCTTCAGATCGATGCAACATTTCCTTGCAAATTTCCAGTTTAAGAATGCTCCGAAGTCGAGATTTGGGTGACCGACTACTTTCAATTACAGAATCAAAACTTCTTCGATAAGGGGATCCGCAATCTGAAACAACGTTTGAAGGGTTTTATAGATAACGTTTTATTTTATAGATAACGATGGTGCTTATTGTTTCGAATAAATTGTTAACTAAAGGAATTTTTGATTAAATTTAATTTTGTAAAAAAACTAAATTTCTTTTGCATCAACCTAATAGGATTGTTATATTAAGTTATTAAATTAAGCGTTTAAATTATCCCTTTATACATATTTTATGGTTTTTCTGTTTGTTTTGTTAATTTTCTTTGTTATTTATGAATTAATTTAGCTGCCGATCAATGTCGATACCGATTTCTAAAGAAAGTTCAAGGATTTTCCGGATTCAAATTCATTTTGTCAATTCATTTTTACTATTCTTAGCAATAAATCTAACAAATAAACACGAAATAAATGAATTCGAAAATTTTTTTAATGAGAATAGGCCACGATTGTTACCTCGTTGCCGATTGTTGTTATGATTGTTTGCTGTTACCACGATTGTTACCCCCCTTTAATGCTAATGATGGCTATTTTGAATTCGAAATGTTTGCAAATAAGGTCGATAGACTTTTGTTGACATTTTGTCAGTCACCATAGTTGTTGGACACCCTGTATATCCAAATACTTTTCTGGATACTTATCAGTCACCCTGTATTATCCAGTCAAAATAATTTTTATATGTGCAAACGTTTTTTTTTGTTTTGTTTGTGCGAACTTTGGCTGGACAACTTTTTTTAAAAACAAAAAAAACGAGAAAAACGAAGGAAAATCGCGAAAAGATATCTCTTTTAAAAAACTTTTCGCGTTTTTCCTTCGTTTTTTTTGTTGAAGAACAATCGAGGATCCTCTTCAACCAAACGAGTCGGGAACTCGCTGAGCAAATGAATTGCCACCGTAACACGATTTTGAAACATCTTCGGAAAATGGGAAAAGTTCAAAAGCTCGGATCCTGGGTTCCACACCTCTTTTCTCCGGAAGAGATGTGAGGTAGCCGAACTCCTTCTTGGTAGGCACATGAAAAGCCGAGGTCAGGATTGTCGATTTATTCATCGGATAGTGACAGGTGACGAAAAATGGTGTCTCTACGTGAATGTGAAGTCAAGGAAAGAATGGGCTGATTCCGATCAACAAGCAACTCCAAGGGTAAAAGCAGAACTTCACCCAAAAAAGACAATGCTGTGTGTTTGGTGGGACCATCAGGGCATTCTTCAACAAAAAAAAACGAGAAAAACGAAGGAAAATCGCGAAAAGCCGCGGAAAGGCTATTGATCTGAGGGTCGCTGGCTCGACTTCCACCGGTGACAATATTTTTCAAAAATTTTTTGCTAAGATTCTGAAAATGCGTGTTTAGGGGTTATTTTTGACGCTGATCACGAAACACATGTTTTTAGCCTAGGTTTCTGCACGGAAAACTAACGAAACGTGAAAACAGCCATTTTTTGGCTCTGCCGCCCTTTACTAAAATAGCTGTAAAAACTTTTAGAAAAGAGCTATCTCAAAACGGTTTTTACCAATCGATCCGTCTTGAATTCAGCTTTAGGATGAGATAGAGAACAATAGATTTAACAACGTCAAAATTCGACAAATTTAAGATACTCTCCCAAAAAATCGGAAAGGACTTTTCCATCAACCCAATGGATCTAGTAAATTCTGCTAGTTCTAACGAAATCTGGACCCGGACTCTATTAGATGTTATTCTATTAGAGTCCATGTTATTCTATTAGATCCCCAAGAGCTCGACAATCAAAACAAATCAAAACAAAACAAAGCAAAAACAAAAACAATGGGAAAAACCCATCGATGACCAATTACTGAACAAAACAAAACTCGGAAAAAGTATTGATGGAGGGGAAATGAAAGGGGAAAAGTTGCCTGGGGCCAATTCGCTCAAAGATTTCCCCTCCAGGTCACTGGACGGGGCTGTCAGACCGTTTTTCATTCACAAAAAGAGAGAAAAGAGTGTGTGTTCGATTGGAACCAAAAAATCTTCTCTAAAAGAGATTTCTCTTTTCATTTTTTGACTTGAAGTCGGAAAGTGTTGAGTCTTGAGGGCACAAACGGTCAGCTGCCCCTTCCAGTACCAATCCCCTTCCCATCACTTGGTTCATTCCTGTCCTTTGATCAAATTTCTTTCCGGGATCTTTCTTTGAGAAAAGAGATCTTTCTTTCTTTCAGAAAAGATCTTTTACATGACTTTTTTGACAGATGTACGATCCAGTTCGGGAAAACGAGCGAGCTTCAATGTTGAACAAGTAAATGGAGCTGTCTGGTGCAAAATATCAATCAAAGAACCGGTTAGAAGCTAGAAAGCTAACTAGGAAACGTCGAAAACTAACTAGGAAATACCTGTAAACTTTTAAAACAAACTCCATCTTATAGACGCTGATTCCGAACGTTTCTGAGAACGCCGATTCTAAATCCGTTTTCCGTTTTTGCCCTTGAGGCCTGTGACCCGACATAACAAGCTTTAGGCCTGCTTATTTGAGCTCGTTTTTCACGACTGAACCAGCTAGCGATGTGGTGCATACCTAAAGCTGTTCAAATTTTGCCATTGCATTGCCTCCATTGAATTTTGCATTGCCTAAAGCTGTCGACTACGGATTCAAAACACGACTATGGGTCCTGGGTCGATTTCCTCTTCGGTCACCGGCCACGTTCCCTCACTAGAGATGCTTTTGGATTTACACCCTCGGTTTTGGGCCGAGATCTAGCACATCTTGTTCAGTTTTGATCTTGATTCTGATGGTGTTTGTCGTTTGGGGATGACGGTTCTAAAATTTTGAGATATTTCGCTTCAAAATTTACATCAAAATTGGACATCCAATTTTGACGAGACGCGCACCCACGAGTCATAAGGGTTCTATAGAGGTTTGTAAACATGAGCATGAACACAACGGAACAGAGCTGCAGTCGGATCTGGACCAGGGACTGGAGCAGAGCTGCAGTCGGATCTGGACGAAGCTCTAGGCCACTATCCTCATGTTTATATGTTTACATCCTGACGAGCTCATGTTTACAAACCTTTGTAGAACCCTTATGATTGGTGCTCAATTTTAACGTAAACTTTGAAGCGAAATATCTCAAAATTTTATAGCCGTCATCCCTAAACGACATGCACCATCGGAATCAGCGTAAAAAACTCAACAAGATGGTCTCAGGCCAAAACCAAGGCGTAAATCCAACAGCATCCCTAGCCAGGCTTAATCCGATTTGCAAAAGCTATCAATGCAGAAGCTATGCAAAAGCAACAAGCTTGCAAAAGCTATCCACAATCAAGATCTACACCATTCTACAACATTCTACAACATTCTACAACCTTCTACAACGTTCTACAACGTTCTACAGCATTCTACAGCATTCTACAGCATTCTACAACATTCTACAACATTCTACAACCTTCTACAACATTCTACAACATTCTACATCATTCTACAATCCAATCCAATCCAATCCAATACTCAATCCTCGTTCAAATCTTGTCCAATTCTTTATTTCAAACGAAGCACGACAAAAATACACTGATATATTAAAACTGATATATTCAAAAGATTCAAAATCAAAATTCCAAAAGCCAAAAGCAAAAAAGCAAAAAAAGCAAATAAGGGAATGTCATTTAAAGAACAGAAATTGAAAAGAAAGAAATATTTTCACACAAATAAATATACAAAAAAGGATTCTCGACTCTATCCGAGCAAAAATCTGAAGGCAACAACGTGAAGTGAAAAAGGAACTGAAAAACCGGATTTAAACCGCCAAAAATCTTTTTTTCCTGTTCAAAAAGATGAGAAATTGACTGAAGTAGTGAAATTGACTGAACTGCGGGGTTTTTAATGTGCCAGATTGCTTGCGTTTCGATCTAGCCACAAGTCCCCTTCTCCACAAGTTTAACCCCTTTCCCCAATTTCCAAATCCAATTTCCCATCTCAAAATATTTCGCCAATCTTTCACTCAAATTTTCTCATCATCAGGAAGTGAAATTTCTTCTCTCAATCATTCTCTCATACCTTTTTTTGTTTAAATGAGAAAGCTAGAGTCGACTTTTTCAATAAAAAACATTGATCAATATGTACAGAGTATTTCATTCGTTTCCTTGTTTTTTCCTTTACAAATCCTCTATCTCGATATTGTAGCGGAGTTGTTTCGCCGAAAACCATGAATAATAGTTGTCGAATTCGAGGATATCTGGAAAGCTGATATATATAAAGTCTACTATATATATCTATAAATCTACTAGTCTGTCTGTCTGCTTGTCTGTTTCTCTGTCTGTCTGTCTGTCTGTCTGTCTGTCTGTCTGTCTGTCTGTATGTCTGTCTGTCTGTCTATCTATCTGTCTGTCTGTCCGTCTGTCTGCTTGTCTGTTTCTCTGTCCGTCTGTCTGTCTGTTTGTCTGTCTGTCTGTATGTCTGTATGTCTGTCTGTCTGTCTGTCGGCTAAAACTTCGTTAGAAAACCTTAGAATATAATGTAGTTGTGTTATTTTAATTAAATAGCATTAAAAAAATGAAAAGGTGAAGACCAAGTGCCGCTAAGGTGGGTCGAACCCGGATCGTCTGGGCTGCAAACCAGCGCGTCCCACACTGTACCACGTTGACCATCTATCGCCCCCTTGTTAAGCGGGCTTTTGATCGTTCAGCAGCCGAAAAACCTGCTGAACAAGAGGGACGGATGGTCGCCGTGGCGCCTTTAGCAGTTAACGGGATGCTGAAAAACCCGTTTAACGGGGAGCGGTGGATGGTCTCCTTAGCGCAATCAGCGGTGCTCTGGTCTACAGCCCACACACACTCCGAGTTCGACCCCCTTCGGCGATAGATGGTCGCCGTGGTGACTTTTTCAGTTTGACTTTTAACTTTTGACTTTTATGTGATTAAAGATTCAGATCTGGAAATCTAGCCAAAGAGAAATGTCTCTAAAACTCACATGTTCCTGGTTTCTCTGCGTTTAGATGACCGTTTATCGGCACTTGACTGCATTCAAGGCTGAAATGGTTGCGTTGAGGGTATTTTAGATCTAAAACGATATTCAATTACTCACCGAATATACGGATAGACGACCTCCATCTCATTCAAATTATCCTTGTCCATCGCTTTGTCGTAATGAACGCAGAAACCGATGTCGTCGTCGCCGGTCATGTATTGCCAACTGGAAATTGAGTGGGATATAGAAATTGTAAACGATTTGTAGAGTTGTAAACGATTTGTCGATTTGTAAACGATTTGTAGATTTGTAAACGTTATTGTTGTGTTTCTTGTGCTTTTTTGTGCCTTTCTGGCATCGAATTCGAAAACTCACGCGATTTTGCTCGGTTTCTTCACTTTGATTTGTATCAAATGTTTATCTCCAGCATAAACGGTTGTCATTTCGTCATAATCGGGCATCACTGTCTCTGAATCGACGAAGAAAGTGTCCGGGATTGGGCCAAGACCATATCTGAATAAGGATTTGAGTCATGTAAAAAAATACCACATTCTGGTACAAAAAAATACAATTCACACGAATATTCTGGTACAAAAAATACAAAAGCACAACTTTTAAGCCCTAAAAAGATTTGTATACAGGGTGGCTGACAATTACGTGCGCGCAGCATCAGCATCATAGTTTTAAACAATGTATAAAGCATTACTACTCATCTTTTTGTGTTTTAATATTCTTTTTATCGTGGTCTAATAATTTTTTGTTAAAAAAGTTGTTTTCTAGGTCATGACAAAGACGTGCGCTAGTCGGGACGCAATCGCACAGCTGGCGACGAGCGGCATGAAGAACTCGTCGATCGCATCGAGGCTTGGGGTGGCTCTGAGGACCGTCCAGAAGATCGTAAAGCAATGGAAAGATGAGGGGCATGTTCAGTCCAAGCCCGGAAGAGGACCAAAGAGGACCGTTAACACCCGAAAGATGCGTGGGATCATCAAGAGGAGGATCGAGCGAAAAGACGATCGTAGTTTGAACAAGATGGCAAAACAGCTTCAAATTTCGCGTTTCTCGGTTCAATCGATAGTGAAAAATGAGCTCGGACTTCGAAGTTATCGACTGTTAAACGGGCAAGTGCTCACCGATCAAGCCAAGCAAAACCGGAAGGAGAAATGCAAGAAATTGCGAGCTTTTTTCAAGGTGCGGCGCATTGACGATGTTCTTTGGTCAGATGAGAAGATTTTCACCTTGGAAGTGGCTAAAAACTCACAAAATCACCGTCAACTTCTCAGTCCAGCTCTCAAGAGCACTCGTAAACGAAAAGTCGCTACAAAAGGTCTGTTTCCAAAAAGTTTGATGGTTTGGGGTGGCATCAGTGCTTCGGGCAAGACCCCGTTGGTTTTTATCGATAAAAATGTGAAGATTAACGCAAAAGTCTATCAAAAAGAGATTCTCGAGAAAGCTGTGGTGCCATGGAAGAGGAGCCATCCCAATTTGACCCTTCAACAAGATTGGGCGCCGGCCCACGGAGCCAAAACAACAATTCGCTTTCTCGAAACCAAAATTGGCTCTTTTTTGACGAAGGATCAATGGCCTGCAAACAGCCCGGATCTCAATCCGTTGGACTTTTCGGTTTGGGGTTTTATGGAAGAACAATTGAGAAATAGAAAAATCACCAATTTGAATGATTTACGTCGAGAATTGATCAAAATCTGGAACGACTTAGATGCAAATTATCTCCGCCGCACCGTCGATTCTGTAAAGAAGCGAATTGAAGCCTGTATCAAAGCGGATGGAGGCCACTTAGAAAATTTCTTGTGATTATTAAATGCTTTTGTTACAACTATTATATAAATAAAGTTTTTTACATTTTCTTTGAAAGAAAATTAAATTATGGCGTTTTCTTTGGCGCACGTAATTATCAGCCATCCTGTATATGTTACGGCCGCTCTAGAAATCCGTCCGATCGGATAGAAATGGACTGATTGATAGATCAGATAGAAATCGGATGGACTGATTCTTGGTTGGACGTCCGATCGAGAGTGATTCTGGATCGGACGTCAACGGTTGGACGTCAACTAAAGTGATTCTAGATCGAACGTCTGAACTAGATTGACTATTGTTGCGATAGTAATCCTGCTTAGTACGAGAGGAACCGCAGACTCAGACATTTGGTTCATCCACTTGGTCGATCGTTCATGGTCGATCGTTCATGGTCGATCGTTCATGGTCGATCGTTCATGGTCGATCGTTCATGGTCGATCGTTCATGGTCGATCGTTCATGGTCGATCGTTCATGGTCGATCGTTCATGGTCGATCGTTCATGGTCGATCGTTCATGGTCGATCGTTCATGGTCGATCGTTCATGGTCGATCGTTCATGGTCGATCGTTCATGGTCGATCGTTCATGGTCGATCGACCAATGGTGCAAAGCTACCATCTGCGGGATTATAACTGAACGCCTCTAAGTTAGAACCCCACCTAGTCAAGGCAATGATAACTTTGCTCTCTCGGTGTCGGGAGGCACTTTTATGTAGTGGTTGCACTACAGCTTATGCCCGATCGAACGTCCGATCTAGACCGATTCTGGATCTAGACCGATTCTGGATCTAGACTGATTCTGGATCAGACGTCCGATTTAGAGTAAAGTAGTATTTAGAGTAAGTAGATCTAGCGATGGTGATGATGGAGATCTAGCGCCTTTTGCAAGAACCAAAACAGACGATTTCCGCGAAACAGACTTTCGATCAAACGCTTTAACTTAACCGGCACTAATGAGGCTTGCGCTAAGGCACACACATCAATTCATACGGTCTCTGAAGAAGGCTTGGGATGAAATTCCTGAGCGTGATTGATAGAAATCGATAGAAAGCCGTTGAAGGGGGAATTTTGGGAAAACCTGTATATTGGACAGAGTTCTAGATCGGATGTAACATAGATGAGAAAAAAGAAGCAATAATACTGGGATCGAACCCTTGACCTCCCGACTAGCTCCCGACTCGGATACTCAGCCTGAGCCTAAGCCTAAGCCTGAGCCTGAGCCTGGCTCTTAGCCAGTCGGCTATGCTGGCTTGTGCAAATTTCCCAACCGTATCATTGATGGACACTTTGGATCTCCTTCCTCAGCCATTTTCCCTCCCCAATGCAATGGCCAAGCATCAAGATGAACGTATTTCTCGAGCTCTCTCCTCCATTCACCCTGAAATCATCAGTTTTTGACTTTAAGCATAAATTGTTGTTAAACTCTTGCATAAACTGTTGCACAGAACAGAACAGAACAAAACAGAACTTCAAAATGACTTCAATTTCTTCATTTCAGCTTACTTCTGAATACATTTCGATAAGCTGAGTGACTGAATCGGAGAGAAAAGCCGTCATTGAGGAGTAGGCCATCCGAGCCATTTCAGGAGCTCTAAAATGATCGATTTTAATCGATTTTTATAGGGAAACTCTATTATTTTCGTTTCTACTATATTATTTTCGTCAACAACTAACCGAATAATCAAAATCTTTGACAAAACGAGTGGATAATGCTCTTGGAAAAGCATGCACAATGTGGTGAAAGCGGAGGCGAATTGACGACTCGCGAAATGAGCTGTTGAGACGTGATCCAAATCGAAAACTAACAGCATTTGTTCCCACGCGTTTCCACTCTAAAATTGTACTTTCTATTACAATGATTTTGTGGTAAATGCTCTTTATTCAAGTCTTTCAAGTCTTTCAAGTCTTTCAAGTCTTTCAAGTCTTTCAAGTCTCTCAAGTCTCTCCAGCCTTTCAAGTCTCTATCCAACTCTGAACCCTAGTTGTAGACTTATTTCGTTGTAGACTCATTTCCCAGGTCAACCAAATTTCTCTACAAGTTTCTTTCGCTAAAATTTCGAAAGGTTTCAAGGAAAAATGTTTGATCAAAAGTCAAGGACAAACTCTTCAAAAAACCCTCAAAAATCAGCAACAATCACCAACAATTTCCACGATTTCTCAACTATTTTAAGCTTTTGATTTCCCCGAACAATTTCAGCATTTCCCCGATTTCCCCAACAGCTAAAAGTTGCACAAAGTTGTAAAAGTGAACTCACGGTTTTCGAGCGAATCTCACACAAACGCATTCCCTTTTCAATAGCGGCAAGGGAGAATTTGATGTAATCAAGAGAAGCGACTGATCGAAGCATTCCTAGAAAGAAAAACGAATTGAAGGGGAATTGAAGGGGATCTGAAGGGGATCTGAAGGGGAATTGAAGGGGATCTAAAGGGGATCTAAAGGGGAATTGAAGGGGAATTGAAGGGGATCTGAAGGGGAATTGAAAGGGATCTGAAGGCGAAATGTTCTTTGATTTATTGGGAAACTTGACTGTACTAAAACTGTAACTGTAACTGTAATTGTAACTGTAAACTAAATTCTATCTTAAAGTACAAAAACTGTAAGTTTAACTTACAGCTTTAAGCTTCTGCTTTTGCAGCTATAAGTAACAGCTTTTGCAAAAGATATAAGTTTAACTTGCCTTCAACGTCACAATTTCCAAGCAAAGACATGAGAATCGGATTCCCGTCTTTATCCGGAAGAAATCCATAGCCACAGTACTTCTCGAGACACTGAAATAGAGTAGAATTGATTCTAGATTTGATTTGATTTGATTTGATTTGATTTGATTTGCTTTGCTTTGATTCTAGACTTGCTTTGCTTTGATTCGGGACTTGCTTTGCTTTGCTTTGATTTGATTCTAGACTTGCTTTGCTTTGATTCGGGACTTTGCTTTGATTTGCTTAGATTTGCTTTGCTTTGATTCTAGACTCGATTTGCTTTTATTCTAGATTTCTTTCCATTTAAAACCTAGATTCATTTGATTCAACTTTAATCTAATGATTTGCGGAAATGAATCAACGAAATCACCTCCACTTTTTCCTTTCCAATACCCCATTCCAATACCCCAACTCCAATTCCAATAATCCAATACCTTTCCTATACCACAATATTTCCAAGGAAAGACATGAGAATCGAATTCCCGTCTTTATCAATAGCAATAGCAATAGCAATAGCAATAGCAATTTTGGGTAACTAAACCACTCGAATCCTCTTCTCAATCAAAACTCAAGAATCTCAATGTTCTTTTCTCAACTTTTTCAATGAAAAGAAAGTTCTAATCTCTATCGAAATCTCTCAAAACATTATTACTCATATTTTTTTCAAAAAAACGAATAAAAGTCGTTAACCTGTTGTATTAAAAATCCCTCGATTAAAGAAAAGAAAAGAAAAGAAAAGAAAAGAAAAAGATTAGATAGACAGAAGACAAAAAGGGCAAGAGAGACGAAAGAGATTCGAATCTTTTCGTCTCACCACCACGAGACAGTGAAGATCGAGAAGGAGATTCAAAAGGAATTGAAAAACTGGGAATACAGGAATACAGTGACGATGACGTCACTTCACACAAGGATTTCAATCGTTTTCAACTTCAATCGTTTTCAATTTCAATCCTTTCTCTGACTTCAATCACTTTGGTAATTAGTGCGCTAGATAGCGTACCGTTTAATGGTGTCGGAAATGGTAGTGGAGATGGAAAACTGGATCCAAATGATCCAAAGCTGGGTTCAAATGATCCAAAGCTGGGTCCAAATGATCCAAAGCTGGGTCCAAATGAATAGGAAATGGAAAACTGGGTCCAAATGATTTAGGAAATGAAATGAAATCATGTAAAGAAGTACAGGAATTGACAAGAAAACAGATTAGGGATTGAACCATCGACTAACCTTTTGCTTTTCGGGCAATTGCACTTGCTCTTGCTCTTGCTCAACTCAACCAACCACTCAACCACAACCTGAGCCTGAGCTCAACCACTGAGCTATCCAGTACCCTAACTTGCTAAGAGAAAGAGTGAATGACAAGGAAGCTAGAGTTAGAGCTAGAGCAAGGCTAAAGCTATGGCAAAGCTAGAGCAAAGCTAGAGCTAGAGCAAAGCTAGAGCTAAAGTAAAGCTAGAGCTAGAGTAAAGCTAGAGCTAGAGCTATGGGAAAGCTAGAGCTAGAGCAAAACTAGAGCAAAGCTAGAGCTATGGCAAAGCTAGAGCTATGGCAAAGCTAGAGCTAGAGCTAGAGCAAAGCTAGAGTTAGAGCAAAGCTAAAGCTAGAGCAAAGCGAGGCTAGAGCTAGAGCAAAGCTAGAGTTAGAGCAAAGCTAAAGCTAGAGCAAAGCGAGAGCTAGAGCTAGAGCAAAGCTAGAGTTAGAGCAAAGCTAAAGCTAGAGCAAAGCTAGAGCTAGAGCTAGAGCAAAGCTAGAGCTAGAGCTAGAGCAAAGCTAGAGTTAGAGCAAAGCTAAAGCTAGAGCAAAGCTAGAGCTAGAGCTAGAGCAAAGCTAAAGCTCAGCCAGAAGTTAGATCCAATTCTGCAAAGCAAGAAGCCAAGCAAGAAGAAAACGATTTCTCGAACAACTCTGGAGGTACTAGAAGCGCTTAGAAATAAGTATTAATAACTAAATTCGAGTACAGTACAGTACTGGGAACAAATGCAATACAGCAATACAATGAATTGATTAATTCCTAGTGAATTCATTGTATTGCTGTATTGCATTTGTTCTCAGTACTGAACTGTACTCGAATTTAGTTATTAATACTTATTTCTAAGCGCTTCTAGTACCTACATCCATTGAAAGATTTCCATTTTGAAAGATTTATCCAAAGATTTCCCCCATTTTCTATTTCATAACGTCCTGTCGCGTTTTTTTGGCTGAAACATTGTGACTTTTCAAAGATCGAGGCAAGATTTGAATCTTTAAGAGAAGAAAATATTGGTGACTCATCGGGAAAAGAAAGATGGCACCAGAAAAATGGGTTTTTTTTTTCTTGAAGAAAAACATACGGTTAAAAATGTCTAAAGATTTTTCAAATCCAATTTATTTTTCAGTTCTCATTCTATTCTTAGCAATAGTGAATCTGAAATCTCTTGAATTTGATTTTGATCTTTCAATTTGATCTCTTTTTCTTTTCAAATGGACTCACTTCAATGGGGTCAAATGGGTGAAAATGAGGGAAGAGAGGGAAGAGAGGGAAGAGAGGGAAGAGAGGGAAGAGAGGGAAGAGAGGGAAGAGAGGGAAGAGAGGGAAGAGAGGGAAGAGAGGGAAGAGAGGGAAGAGAGGGAAGAGAGGGAAGAGAGGGAAGAGAGGAGAAAGAGAGAGAGAGAGAAGAGAGAAGGAAAGAAAGAAGGGAAGAAAGGAAGGAAAAAAGAAAGGAAGAAAGAAAGGAAGGAAAGAGAGTGAAGAGAGAAGAAAGAGAGAAGAGAGAAGAGAGAAGAAAGAGAGGAAAGAGAGAGAAGAGAGAGAAGAGAGAGAGAGAAGAGAGAAGAAAGAAGAGAGAGGAAAGAAAGAAAGGAAAGAAAGGAAAGAAAGGAAAGAAAGGAAAGAAAGGAAAGAAAGGAAAGAAAGAAAGAAAGAAAGGAAGAAAAAGGAAAAGAAGACAATGACATTTAGCCTCATTTCGATTTCGAAGGGCTACAGGAAAGATGTAAAAAGATTACAGCTACTGATTAAAAAATTGCAGCTACTTTGTACAATTACAGCTACTGTACTTTGTGCTCAAACTTTGCAACGCATCCTTTCTAGCGCACTATAATCTATTGGACTATAGATCCAATCTATTGGATCTATAATCCAATAGATTTTATTGTACTTTTTTCCATTCTCAGCCTAATCCATTCATCCATCCATTGTGATTCAAATCTGCCTTTAAAGGCACAGATTTAGCTCGAATGTGAATGCTTCAGTGAATGTTTAAAGAGAATAAGAGAATAAAAAGAATGGATATTCTATTATATAGAGATATAGGATTATATAGGATATTATACAGAGAAAAAGAGTTATTTCAACTCTTTTTCGATCATTTCGATCAATAATCACTGATAATTCTTTCATTTTTTTTCATTTTCCCTTATAAAATTGATTGATACTGAAAAGGGTTTCAGTACTAAAAAGGTCTCAGTATTAAAAAGGTAGCTAGTTATGGGGTAACCTAGTTATGGGGTAACCTAGTTATGGGGTAACCTAGTTCTGGGGTAACCTAGTTATGGGGTAACCTAGGTATGGGGTAACCTAGGTATGGGGTAACCTAGGTATGGGGTAACCTAGGGCAGACAGTTGTCTTCCCTAGATTACCCCAACCTTTGATCAACCAGGTGTCTTTGATCAACCTCACTCATAATACTCATTTATTTAAAGAAGTTCAGCTGAATTTAAAATCTTTAAATTAATTAAATCTCAATCTAGCTCTTAAATCAATGGCAGAAAGGGAGAATTTGATGGAATCTCTAATCATCTGGAATCTCTAATCATCTCGAATCATCTCGAATCTAGATTTCGAATCTAGATCTCAAATATTTATCGATTTCTCATCCTCTTTATCATCTGTTTTTATCGTCTGCTTTTATCATCTGTTTATCACCATTTCCCCCCTTTCAAACGACAACAATATTTATCAAAAGAATCCTGTTATTTTGACCTAGAAAAACAATCAACAGATTGCCGGCGATTTCAAGGAAATTTCATCTAAGAACAGAGGCAAGCTTTCCACGTTCCACTCATCGAATCGATCAGAAACTAGAGAAAAATCTGACTAAACTGACTGACTAGAGAAGTGTTTCTGTTAAAAAGGATGAACTGTTAAAAAGGACGAGTTTTAAATGGATTTAAAGACTTGAAAATGGGTTTTAAGACTTAAAACTGAAATTTAAGACTTAAAGCTGACCTTCAAGACCTAAAGCTGATATTTAAGACTTAAAGCTGACATTTAAGACTTAAAGCTGACCTTCAAGACTTAAAGCTGACCTTCAAGACTTAAAGTTGATATTTAAGACTTAAAGCTGACATTTAACACTTAAAGTTGACATTTAAGACTTAAAGCTGACCTTCAAGACTTAAAGCTGACATTTAAGACTTAAAAAATGGCTTCTAAGACTTAAAAAATGGCTTTTAGTAGTGAAAAGAAAAAGTTTCGCAGCCAAGAGGATTCGAACCCGGGTCGACCAGAGAGCAGCAGAGCGAGGGCCGAGCACACTAACCACTACACCACCCGGTCATCGCTTCGGGGCTGGTAATTCGGCCCTATATCACGGCGGCACCTCGTTTTTCCTCCAAACTTCAAACCCGTTTTTCTCAAAAATTTTGTATGCATTGGATAAAATTCAAAAATAGGTGTCCTTTAAAATTTTGAGGGGCCTTTTAGGCATATCTTGGGGCATATCTTGAATTCAGTTCAACTTGAAACAGTTTTCTAGCGAGCTTTAAGCAAAGAAAAGCCATTTTTCACCAAGAAAAGCCATTTTTCACCAAAAGAAATGCCTTTCTTGAGCAAAGGAAAGCCTTTCTTGAGCAAGAAAAGCGACTTTTAAGCAAGAAAATCGACTTTTCAGCAACCAAAGCTGACTTTTATAAAGCTTCAACTGTGCCCTACCGGAGACAAACCATGAAATTTGCATATGCATAAGATAAAAATCGATATTCCCCATGATTCCACCAATTTTCCCCCGTTTCCCCCGTCCGTTCTTAATCGCTTTCTTGAATTTGACCCCTGTAAATGAAGAGCAATGTGAAAAGGAAAATTTCATGTCGCCTAAATGCCATTTTCCCTCTCAAAACACAGCCCAGTGTTACTGGTTGACCTTGACGATGGGTGTTTCCAAAAAAAACCCATAGATGGGTGATGGGGAAAATCGAAGAACCTTCATAGCCCAACAGCCATTTTCTTTTCCTTTTTCTTTTCCATTTTCTCTCCATTTCTTCCCATTTTTGTTCTCTGACTCAGTTTTTAAAAAGAAAGAAGAAAGAAAGAAGAAAGGAAGAAAGAAGAAAGGAAGAAAAAGGTTTCTTTAAAAAAGAAAGTTGATTGGTCAATAGATTAGGAAATCAGGAAGATTTTTGAATCACGTGGGGAAGTGTGGAAGATCTTTGAATCACATGGGGAAGCGAGGAAGATCTTTGAATCACATGGGGAAGTAAGGAAGATTTTTGAATCACTTGGGGAAGTGAGGAAGATTTTGGGTGACGCTAGCCTAGATCTGGAGTCTAACGAGTAGAGAAATCGATTGGATGAGTCTGGATTGTCTGGATTGATCTGGATTGTCCAAAAAGGATTGTCCAAAAAGGATTGTCTAAAAAGGATTGTCCAAAAAGGATTGTCTAAAAAGGATTGGAAAAAAGGATTTGATCAGTCTGGAGGCTTGGAATAGACTTTAGAATCAAGTGCGCTAGAAGGAAATGTACTAAAGTAAAATGTTACTAAAGTAAAAGTTATTTACTAAAGTAAATTCCGAAGAATACGAAAGATCCTTGCTCTACTTTTCTCTAAAGCAGGAGAATCGATCAAAAGTGATAATTCTGATGAGAATCATTCAATTATCAATCAATTTTTCACTCATCACTTCTCAATGAAAGAAATCACTGATGATTCTCATGAAATTTCATAAAATTTCATGAAATTCTCATGAAATTCGATGAAATTCCCATAAAATAGCATTCATTTCATGTTTTCTAGATAGAAATCGATCACAAAAAGTGGATCTAGACTTCAAAAATAGCCGGATTTTCGAAAAGAAAAACTAGCTTAAAGCGATGGAATTGAGGGATTTGTGGGAATACAGAACATGGAAAAACTTGAACATAAAAAAAAGGCATTTCAGAAACAGAAGAACGATCAAGATTTAGAGATAAGCTCGGGATTTCGCTTGGCAAAACGAAATATAGACTTTAGCTGGATTTTGTGCTTAGGCAAAAATCCAGCTAAAGCCAACGTGTAAACAAAAACCTTTCTAGCGCACTAAATGCATCATTTCACTGAAAAGCCCCACCTCTGGTGCTTCCCATTTATCGATTTCATCCAATTCCCAGGCTTTTCTGAATATCACGTGCTTCTTAAGAGCTTCGGCTGTTTCGTCAAATCTGGAAACAATTGAATATATAAAAGTGTCGTCCGTTTGTGCGCTTTCCGTTTGTACTGGCTTTTTCTCAGCCAGACGGCTGAGACTTTGACCAATAAAGCTAAAATTTCTTTAGAAAAGCTTAGAATAGATTGTAAAAGGCCTGTAAAATGAAAAATTGAGTCAAAGCCAAAAATTAAAATTTGAAAGGCACTGAGGGGGCTCGAACCGGGACCGTGTGGGTTGTAGACGAGCACGCTCCTAACTGCGCCACAACGACCCTGCGAGACCGTCAGGATAAGCGGGTTTTCACTCTTCAGCAGCAAATGTTCGCCCCTGCTAAGCGGGTCTTTCGGCTGCTGAAGGATGAAAAAGCCGCTTAAGTCGCTGGTGCCTTACGTTCAACGTGGTACAGTGGGGAGCGTGCTGGTCTTCAACCCACACGATCCAGGTTCAACCCCGGGTGATGCCTTCGTTTTCTAAAATTCCGCCTTTTTTCAGCTTTTTAGCTCAGCTACAACTATTTTACAAGCTAAGCCTAAGCCTTTAGCCCAATTTCAACTCCAACCGTCCATTTTTCGATCTCAACCACCGCAACACATAGCTGTCCGTCAATTCTTTGATCTCCGGGAGAATTGTTCTGAAATTCCGTGAGAATGACTTTCTGAAAACTTTCTACAGTTAGCTTTTACCTCAAATCTCGAATCGCTATCACTTCTTCGGAATTTGCTGAGAATTTGTTCATTTTTGCTGCTGAAAAGTATTTTTTGATTTGAAAATGATTTGAAAAACTCTGATTTGAAAAAGAAAACATTCAAAAGACTCAAAATACAGACATTTTGATAGAAAAGAAGCTAAAATGTTTTGGTTTTTCGGGAAAAGGAAAAGAAAAAAGGATAGCCGATCAGCGAAAAGGATCATTTTGATCAAATGGCTATCAAAGATTACGAAAATCGACGAAATGAAAGCTTTTAGTTATTCAAGAAAAGAATTTGTTGAACTAACTTTAAGGCAAAGCTAAGCCAGCTCATTTCTAGCCAAGTCAGCTCATTTCTAACCAAGCCAGCTCATTTCTAACCAAGCCAGCTCATTTCTAGCGAAGCCAGCTCATTTCTAGCCAAGCCAGCTCTAGCTTGTAAAGCAGTAGAAATTAGACTTGGCTTAGAAAAATCATTACTGAAATGGCTAAATGGTGAAAAGCTTAAAAATAATAGATTGGAATTGAATTAAACGATAAATTAAACGATAAACAATAAAGCAAGAAAAGAACGATAAGCGAACGATAAAAAAACGACAAAACAAAAGTAAACAAAAGTAAACGATAGTAGAACGATCGTAGAACGATAGAGGAAAAGTAAAAGAATATAAAAGCAAAGAAGTGAGTGAGAGTTGTGGAGAATGAAAGGAAAGGGGAAAGGCAAAAGCACGTTAAAACGAAGAACACATTTCCACAGGGGAAATCGGTGGGATGGGGAGGAGACTGGGGATCCCAATGCTCACCATCTCTTTCTATCTTCCTTTCTATATTCCCCTCATTCTCCCAATCTCTTCACTCCTACAGACTGCCCGCGCGACATAGTTCTCCCCTCACCTTTTTGTAGTCTTTCTCTCATTTTCCTTTCTCATCCCAAGGTTGACCCCTTCCGATAAACAATTGCGAAATATCGAACATAAGAGATATTTTGAAAACAGTGAACTTTGAATCAGAGCTTTAAAAGCTTTGAATCAGAGGATTTGAACCATTTGAAACATTTGAAACATTTGAAACATTTGAAAACCATTTGCATCAACTTGGGAAAAAGGTTCCAAATGAAAAATGGGTTCCACATGAGCTGATATTACCTTATAGCTTTGTTACAGCTATAAGGTAACAAAATAGCTGTCACTGTGTGCTTCATCTTGCTTCAAATCACACGATTTTTCTCTTCACGATCACACGATCACGACAGAATCTCGACTTCTAATGAGACTTGGATCATTTATAACAATGTCACTCGAAAAAATCAATGGCTCTTTGCTGGTGAAGCCTCGCAAACAGCTCAAGCCCGATATCCATAGAAGATCATGCTGTTTATGGTGGAATTCGAAGGGATTGATGCATTATGAAGTGCTCAAACATGAAACCCAGAAGCCGCTGCTCTTTGAAGAAGTATTCCAGCCTTTTGAAGGAGTATTCCAGCCAAGAACACACTGTTTGCCTTGTAGAGTTACCTTGCGTTGTCTGTTTGCCTTGAGCACATGGGTTTTCGTCAACTTTTGAAAGAGTATTCCGTCAACGGTTTTGCGCAGCTCCAAGTCATCGATTACCGATGGGGAATGGCCTCAACCCTGGTCTTCGAGTTCCGCATTTCCTTCATGAAATCGTTGAAACCAAGCTCGACATTGTCCTTCGGAGATTGCTGATTGACCAAATACACTTGCAATGGCAATGCAATGCAATGGCGATTGCCATAGCGTGCCATCGGCTGCCGTTTTTCCTTGCTTGAAGTCATACAGCATACAAACTCGAATTCAATCCTTCAAATCGTTTATCCTAAAAAGTTAAAATTAGCAGGGTAGGAAGACAAACGGAGAACCAAGAAAATAAACAAGAAAACAACCAAGAAAACAACCAAGAAAATATGCAAGAAAACAATCAAGAAAACAAGCAAGAAAACAGACTTTAAGTAACATAAAAATATATTGATTAGATAGCCAGCAATCAAGATTTAAAGACAAAAGATTTTCGGTTTCATTCGGTTCAACCTAATACTTTATGTAAGTGTTAGATCCGTTTTAGACTGGCACAAGACTGATTTAGACACAATCTAAATTGGATATCGGATATGTCGCCTTCGCCCTTATGATAAAGATAAAGAACAGACTTTGATCATTGAAAAGACTCATGATAAAGAACTGACATAATGAAGCGCTTCAAAAAATAGGTCTCGTGGTGTCGCTTGGCTGGATCTTGTGCTCCGTCGCTTCCATGCTTCCTCCGCCGTTATGTGAATGATCGCCGCTATGTGGATCGCCGCTTCCATGCTTTTTGATTCGTTCCACCATCAAATAGATCTCTGTAGTCAAAATCTGGCCAGTTTGCCTCCCATCCAAGTATTTGCGGAATCAAATTTTCGTTGAATCAACCATTCCTGAAAATTAACGATTACTAAACTGTAACTGTAAAGCAAAAAAGAGAAAACTGTAGAGAATGTTGAGGAGAATGCAACTAAAACAAAAAAGAGAGAATGTTATGAAACGGGGGACATCAATAAACATCGATAAAACTAAAACTTATCATTTTACTTCAAAAAATGGCTAAATTCGGTTAAAATTATGGGATTTTAGTGCGACTATTGCTTTTGATCTTGTTTTTTGGTGTAGAAAACGATTTAGTGCAAACTGTCAAAAACATTGTTAGCAGCAATTGTTAGCAGCAATTGTTAGCAGCAATTGTTAGCAGCAATTGTTAGCAGCAATTGTTAGCAGCAATTGTTAGCAGCAATTGTTAGCAGCAATTGTTAGCAGCAATTGTTAGCAGCGATTGGTAGCAGCGATTGGTAGCAGCGATTGGTAGCAGCGATTGGTAGCAGCGATTGGTAGCAGCGATTGGTAGCAGCGATTGGTAGCAGCGATTGGTAGCAGCGATTGGTAGCAGCGATTGGTAGCAGCGATTGGTAGCAGCGATTGGTAGCAGCGATTGGTAGCAGCGATTGGTAGCAGCGATTGGTAGCAGCGATTGGTAGCAGCGATTGGTAGCAGCGATTGGTAGCAGCGATTGGTAGCAGCGATTGGTAGCAGCGATTGGTAGCAGCGATTGGTAGCAGCGATTGGTAGCAGCAATTGGTAGCAGCAATTGGTAGCAGCAATTGGTAGCAGCAATTGGTAGCAGCAATTGGTAGCAGCATTGTTAGTTAAAAATATTGTTGCGTCTAAAACCGATATCCAATTTAGATTGAGTCTAAATCGGATATAGCATATGCTTACTTAAAGTACCTTTGTTCTAAAATTATAACCCTAAACATATCTAATACTTATCTTACTATCCACACTTTTTCTAGGTCTGGATAAGATACATAAAAATAGACGTATAGTACCCAATTTAGTATCGTAAAAACTCTAATATTAGGTTGGTAAAGAAGAAATGCGCGTTTTCGTTAAAAGTTTATTTTATTATAAAAACACGATAACAATACATTAATCCAAAAGGTATTCGCCATCTGCATCAATGACTTGTCGCCAACGTTCACGCAGAGAATGGATGCCCTTCTTGAAGAACTCGACCGGCTGCGACTCGAAGAAGTTGGACACCCAAATTTGGACCTCGTCGCGGTTCTTGAACTTTTTCTCGGCCAAGGAGTGGTGCATTGATCGGAACAGATGGTAGTCGGAAGGCGCCAAGTCTGGGCTGTATGGCGGATGAGGCAGGACTTCCCAGCCCATTTCTTCAATTTTCTGCTGGGTGATTTTTGCGACATGCGGCCGAGCGTTGTCGTGGAGGAATTTTGTCGACGCCGTATCCACACCTTGACGTCGCAGCACAGCAGACAATTTTTTGAGATATAACAAATATTTTTAACATTAACCAGCAGTTAGAAAAAAATGATTGAAAAGTGGCAAAAAAAGAGCTGATTTTCGCCAATTTTCAATCATTTTTTCTAAGCGCTGATTAATGTTAAAAATATGTGTTATATCTCAAAAAATTACTCATCCTCTCTACTTTAATTTGATACCTAAGCGCGCTGAAACAGATGTCTGGGCGCCGAGATAAGAGCGGTTCTTTGAGTGTAAACTTAGCCTACACGACGCTCCTCTATAGGGGTCCGTTCTATTAGAGTTTTCACGGTAATTTAGTCGTTTTTCTATCCAATTTTCTAAATCCTATATTCTTTTTCTTGAAATTCTATTGATTTGAGTCTTATTCGCGAGTTTTCTATCAACTTTTGAAACGCACTAAATTATAGCCTTTCACCAAACAAAAAAATGGTCAAAGCATCTGATTTTTGGGCAAAAAAAATTCATTCAATTACACCTGTCTTTATGATTTTCTTTACAATTACATCAGAAAAAGGTCCTCATTTAATTTTCTATTTCTTTTTCACTTTCATCTTTCAATATTCAATTTCTATACTGTAATTCCTAATTTCAATTGCAATGTATTACACATTTTATCAGAATTTCTCGGTTTTCATCCCAACTTTTCCGAATATCTCGAATTTGATGAGAAGCACACAACAAGGAAGTTCTATTTTTGTGAGTTTTTTCTCGTTTTCATCGATTTCCATCGATTTTCTATCAATTTGATAAAACCTTTAAAGCCTTTAAGGCCTAAGCCTAAGCCTTTAAAGCCTAAGCCTAAGCCTAAGCCTTTAAAACCTTTAAGGCCTAAGCCTAAGCCTTTAAAACCTTTAAAGCCTAAGCCTAAGCCTTTAAAGCCTAAGCCTAAGCCTAAGCCTTTAAAACCTTTAAAGCCTAGGCGTAAGCCTTTAAAACCTTTAAACCAAATCACTAAAAACTTCTCTACAATCCCTTTCAGAGTTCCAACGTAGCATTAGGCTATCTGTATGGACTCACCTTCTGTGAGATGTCGATTCTAATCATCTCCGTTTTCCTCTATTTCCCATTTCTCGTTGTTGTTGCCGCCAGTTCTCAATTCCACACAAATCTCATCCGAATCTTCATCTTTCTCGCCTTTTTCATGGCCGTTCATTCAGCATCTCGTGGAGTTTTGCTCTTGTATGAATTCGAGATCTTGCTCAGAAAAGGTGATTTAAGCAACTTAGCAACCAGCAACTTCTCAAGCTAAACTCACCGATTTTCAGAGTCTCTGATTTTGGATCTCTTGCTTTTCACAGCTTCAATCACTCGTGGATTCCTTGCCACATTGTCAGCCTTATCCGTGCCGCTGATCATCGTTGAAAGGTGAAATTGTCTGAAGTGTACAGGGTGCGTCATAATTGCGTAATGTCAGCTTTATCTGTGACCATTTTGTGCCACCTACATTGTTATTTGATATCTTTTGCTTTTTTTCATGTTTACTCTTGTTATTTGATATAATTTATATGATTTTTTAGTGGTTTTTTTAGAAATGGTTAAGCCGAGTGTTTATCGGACTTGCATTGGACTTGCATTGGAGCTGCATCGGACTTGCATCGAGCCTGCATCGACGATCATAGCGTTGCATCGACGGGGGCTTTTAACACGTGCAAAATTTGGGAGTTTCTCGTGAACAAGACGATTAAACGCTTCAAGAAGTTGGGAAGAAATGCTGGCCGAGGAATTGGGAATAGAGCTGATCGCTGGCGTGGAAAACGGCGTTCTGTTCATTCAGCCCTTTTCATTCAATCCTGTTCATTCAGTCCTGCTCATTCAATCCTGTTCATTCAATCCTGTTCATTCAATCCTGTTCATTCAATCCTGTTCATTCAATCCTGTTCATTCAATCCTGTTCATTCAATCCTGTTCATTCAATCCTGCTCATTCAGTCCAAAATCAAAAAATTGCGAGAGAGGTTGCGTCGTAACTCGAAACAATCAACTCATGTCACGCCAAATGGGAATTTCTGAATTTCCTTGCGTTGAATTGTGCGACGAACTCAAGATGTTTTTCAAACTTCTTGAAATCTTTCAAAAAACAAATGTCAAAGCTACCAAAAAGAAAAGAGCGATTTGAGGACTTTCTCAGGCGATTTTGTCGCGACTGTCGTTAGATTTTGTTCTCAAATGAAAAATTATTCAACATTCAACAAGTGCTAAAGCAGAATGACCGAATTTATGCCATTTCCAACCCACACAAATCGATTCATTCTCGATCCAGCTTCAGTCATGGTGTGGGCAGGGATCACGATGAAAAGATTCCTCTTATCTTCGTGCCATCAAGCCGGTTAGCAAGATGGAGCAAGATGGAGCACAAGCTCAAGCTCAAGTCAAGCTCAAGCTCAAGCATATTTGGGTATTTTGCGACAAGACGTTTTGCCCTTGGCTTAATCTCATTTTGAACCACGTAGCTGGGTATTTCAGCAGAATGTAGCACCGGCTCTCAAGCCTCAAATGGTTCAAGATTGGTGTGAGCAGAACCTACCAGATTTCATCTCATTCAACAAGTGGCCTCCAAGGATTTTAATCCTAATCTTAATCCGCTTCATTCTTCAGTCTGGTCAATTTTATGGGCTAAACCACATCGAGTAGTTGACTCGTTAAAGCGCTCCTTAAAGCATGCTCAGCATGAGAAGAGCTTGAGGCTCTCCCATGCTGAGCTTGCTGAGCATGGAAGAGCTTGAGGTTGCTTACTTGCGTGCCACAGTTGACCCCTTCCGCCCACAAGTCTCGAATGGTCCGTCTTCTGTCTTCTTGCATTTTCGCACTTCTGGTCGTCGCTAACGGAGGAATTTTTGGAATTTGCGTTTTACACTTGTTAACATAAATAGAGATTGTTATAAAAACTTTGTTATCTTTGAATGAATTCTTTTTCGGTTAGTACTGACTGATATATCTCAGCCAATAATGATGACGCACCATGTAAACGGACAGACAAACACACAGACAAACGGACAGATAAACGGACGGACAGTCGATGACCTGTAGTCGAATTGCAACTCAAATTCTAGATCTTTTGCCACCTATTACATTTGGGATTACGAGTTAACGCCGAGGCTTTGGATTTCGAATCTCTTGATCTTCGTTTTCTTTTGGCTTTCGTTGATCGTTTCGGTGATGTTTTTATTTGGTCAGTGCACATCACAATCACAATATTTAGAGCTGAAAAACTCGCCTAACTGCGAGCTGTTTCGCGGTGATCGTGGCGCAGTCAGGAGCGCGTTCGTCTACGGCCGGCGAGATCCGGGTTCGACTCCCGGCTGTGTCATGACTTTTGCTTTTTAGAAGAAAAAAATATATGAGACACAAATACATAGAATTCTAAACCTAGTAAACTAAAAATGATGTAAATTGGCTCAAGGGAAGCAGAGAACTCTAACGACAAATGACAAACTGACGGACAGATAAACGGACAGACAAACGCACAGACAAACGGACAGACAGACAAACGGACAGGAACGGAGCGGGACGGACAACGGACGCAGACGGACAGACAACGGACGACGGACAGACAGACAAACGGACGACAAACGGACAGACGGACACGACAGACAAACGGACGACGGACAGACCGACAACGGACAGACAAACGGACGACAAACGGACGAAACGGACGCAGACAAACGGCGACACGACGACAGGACGGACGGACAGCAGCGGCGCGGCAGAGCAAACGGCGCCGGACAGGACAGACAAACGGACAGACGGAGCAGCAAACGGACGACAACGGCAACGGGATAAACGGACAGACAGACAAACGGACAGACAAACGGACAGACAAACGGACAGACGGACAGACAGACAAACGGACAGACAGACAAACGGACAGACAGACAAACGGACAGACAGACAAACAAGACAAACGGACAGACAGACGGACAGACACTGCTCTCTTATATAGTAAATGATTCCTTTCCAGGTTTTGCAGCCGATCCCAATTTATCTCTTTACACATTTGTGGCCATTTTTCTTGTTTTCATCTTAGCATTATTAGTTGTAAGTAAATCCGAAGCAGTTTCTTTTACAAAACTTTTCTCAGACCTATTGGAGACTTCATGTCTACAATGATATAGTCTTAACTGCTTTATCCACAATGCCATATGGAGAACGGGGATATTTATCTGTGAGATTTCAAGTTGAGGAGAATATTCGAGTGTTTAAGGTACGATTTTTGAGGCAAAGAGCAATTTCATTGTTTGTTTTAGTTAATGAAACGTTTTGTGGTGAGCAATTCAATTGCCGTTCTTTGCGGGGTTTTGATCGGTTATATTTGTTTTTTGATGCCTCCATCGTCGGAAGGAGCCGAGTTATGCAAAATATTCTTTGAGCTCTACATAGCGATGTGAGTTTTGGTTGAGTTTCTCAATAACTGAATAGCTTTCTATAAAGGAATAGCTCGACAAGGGTTACTGTAAGACAGTTACTGTAAGACAGTTACTGTAAGACAGTTACTGTAAGACGTACTCTAAGACAGTACTCTAAGACAGTTACTGTAAGACAGTTACTGTAAAACAGTGACTCTAAGACTGTTACTGTCGACTTTTTACAAAATTCAGTTCATAAAACCATTTCTCAATATCTTTAGCGTAAAATCCAAAGCCTATTTCCAGTTATATTGTCAGTTTTTTGTGCATTTGCTTGTGGACTGTCGAGGAATGGAGATACCAATATTTCCGTCTTGTTTCTCGTTTTATTGGTCGCACAACTCCAGAAAAGATTCGTCCAATCGCCTCAATTCTTCTCGTCGATTCAGATACGGAAGCGAATATCTATTTTGATTTTTATAAACAAGCGTGGTGAATAAATATCAAATGTCTTTCTGGCCCCGCCCCTTTGCCATTGGCAATCCAACTTTGAACTCAAATTTCTTGGTGTTGAGCTGTCCAATTTACATGATTTTTATACCAATCGATAGAGGAAGTCTTAGCGAATCTAATGATACCACGAATAATGGAATTGGACAGATCAACACCGAGATATATGGGTTCAAAGTTGGATTGCCAATGGCAAAGGGGCGGGCGCGTATAAAAGGTCCCTTTGGCCCCGCCCTTTTTGCCAATCTAACTTTGAGCTCAAATTTCTTGGTGTTTAAGCTGTCCAATTTAAATAGTTTTTATACCAATCGATAGAGAAAGACTTTTTGAATCTAATCTGGCCCCGCCCCTTTGCCATTGGCAATCCAACTTTGAGCTCAAATATCTCGGTGTCGAGCTGTCCAATTTACATGGTTTTTACACCAATCGATAGAGGAAGTCTTAGCGAATCTAATGATACCAAGAATATGTAAATTGAACAGCTCAACACCGAGATATATGGGTTCAAAGTTAGATTGCCAATGGCAAAGGGGCGGGGCATGTCCGAGAACCCTAGAAATCTTTGGGGTTTAATCTGTACAATGTGTGAGAAATATTTACAGCTTACTATTATGTAAAGGACATCCTAGTACAATGTGTATTTTCTAGATTTCATTCTTCTCATAATTCTTGTCAAAAAATCTTCTTTTTCTCGTGTTTTCACCTGTTTTCTCGAAAGATTGACGCATTTTCATCAAAAATTCTTTTGCCTGTTGGTTTTTAACAAAAAATAAATCAGAGGTCAAGAAAATTTATAAAATAAAATGGGCTTTAGAATTAATGGCACGAGTCCGATGAGCTAGACGAGCAGGAGCGGCGTCGACTGAAGAAAAAATGAGGTTGGGGAGATTGGGGATTGGATTGGATTGGTTTGGGGATTTGATTGGGGATTGGATTGGGGATTTGATTAGAATTTGATTAGAATTAGATTAGAATTAGAATAGAATTAGATTAGAATTAGATTAGAATTAGACTAGAATTGGATTAGAATTGGATTAGGCTTAGGATTGGAATTGGATTAGAATTTGATTAGAATTTGATTAGAATTTGATTAGAATTTGGATTGAAATCAAGATTGAAATCAAGCTTTAAATCAAGCTTTAAATCAATATTTAAACCAAGCTTTAAAATTCTATCAATTCTTTAGCTTTAAATCTTCTGCTTCACTTACACACATCCACCACTCATTCCATAATACGGTTGATCGAAGGTTGATCCCGTGCACACGTTTCCTCCGGCAACCATCACTGAAATTGATTCAGAATTGTTTGGCCGAATTGTTTGGCCATAATTGTTTGGCCAAAAAGTCTTAAATCAGTCATAGTTTAACTTAAAGCCTAAAAAAAGTCAAATAAATCATCAAAACAGTGGTTATTTCTAAAGATTAACTAAAGAGGTTTAAAGATTAACTTCCGGAAAACGATATTTATTCTTTTCTTTCATTAGCCGATCTTTCTTCTAACTTTTAGCTGTTTTTAGCTGTTTCAGCTTCTATTTTTTAGCTTTTTAGCTGTTTTTTTAGCTTTTTAGCTGTCTTTTTTCGCTTTTCATCTATTTTTTTCGCTGTTTCTACTCACTAGACATCAATAATCCTTTTTCCTTCCTTTAAAACACACTTGGTTGTACTCCTTGCCCAATAACTGGTTGAACATATCCACTCGGATAAGCTCCGCCACCGATAACTGAATAAATTTTGAAAAGAAGAATGAGATTTGTTCGTAATGAGGTTATTACCTGGTTGAGAGATTGGATAAGCACCTCCACCGATCACTGAAAATCAGATGGAGATGGTTTTAGGCGAATTGGGAAAGCAAGTACGTTACAATAAGCAACTACGTTACAGTAAGCAAGCAAGTCACACAATATTGTTTAGATTCCCTCAAGCTCTGTATCCTGCCAAACCTGTATTCGGATAGGCTCCTCCACCGATTCCTGAGCTTGGATAGGCTCCTCCACCGATTCCTGGGCTTGGATAGGCTCCTCCACCGATTCCTGAGCTTGGATAGGCTCCTCCACCGATTCCTGGGCCTGGATAGGCACCACCGCCAAGCACTAGAATTATCTGATTAGACACAAAATCGAAAAACTGAAGATCTTAACACGTTTACAAGGAAGCCATTTGTGCTTTGGCCGTTTCGAACGGTTATCGGACATTTGAACGGTTATCGGACCTTTTATACGCGCCCGCCCTTCTTCCATTGGCAAGCCAACTTTGAGTTCAAATATCTCGGTGTTGGGCTGATCAATTTAAACATTCTTGGTATCATTAGATTTGCCAAGTCATTCTCTATCGATTGGTATAAAACCATGTAGATTGGACAGCTCAACACCGAGATATTTGAACTCAAAGTTAGATTGCCGATGGCAAAGGTGTGGGGCATGTCAAATGTGCGATAACCATAGAAATCTTTGGGGTTTAATCTGTACAATGTGTGAGAAATGTTTACAGTTTACTATTATGTAAAGGACATCCCCAAAAGGGCTTAGGCTTAGCCGGAAAGGCCTTTTATACGCGCCCGATCTTCTGCCATTGGCAATCTAGCTTTGAACTCAAATATCTCGATATTCGTCTGTCCAATTTGCATATTCTTGGTACCATTGGATTCGCCAAGTCATTCTCTATCGATTGGTACCAAAACTATTTAAATTGGACAGCTCAACACCGAGATATTTGAGCTCAAAGTTAGATTGCCAATGGCAAAAGGGCGGACGTATGTCAAATGTCCAATAAACGATGTGGAGTCGCACTTGGGTAATTAAACTGGATAGAATATCCAAAAATAGAGAAGTTTTCTTTAGAAACTAATGACAGATTCGAGTTCCTCATCCTCAAAAACCCTGATTGCAAATTTTCAGCCTAATCAACCTCAAAAAAGCGCAAAATCCACGTACGGCCTACCTGTAATTTGTTAATCAAAATAAATCAAATAAAATACCTGGCTGTTGCATAGGATACGCACCACCACCGACAGGATATGGAGAAGCACCCGATCCGATCATCATTCCACCAGGTGGTGGATACATTGGACCCGCACCACTACCGATGATTGGCGGTGGCACATTTGAGCCTAGGAAACAAGTACTTCTTTAAGAATAGGTCTTTATGTTTATGTGAAATTGAAATCAAATTGATATTGAAGCTGTAGATCATCACAAAACTCACCATTTCCATAAGGATCATACTAAAAGAAAATTTTAAATCAATCAATATTTGAAAACTTACCATTTTATTGCTTTGTTGAGGGGGGAAAGTGGAAGGTGAGTAATGGGAACTTATCGGTTTTGCGAAGAAATGGTTTTTGCGAAGAAAAACGATGAGAAATAGAAGAGATAAGGGTATCTTTTGACAAAAATGTTGACAAAAGGGAAGGGGAAAGGGGAAACGATTGGACTCTTGAGATCAGAATCGGAATTGGGAAAATGGAAAATGAGTCATTGATCATGAAAAGGATGAAGGAGTATGAAGAAGGAGGATGAAGAAGGAGGATGAAGAAGGAGGAGGGCGAAGAGATTGTCCCTGTTCAGATCTCAAGATTTTCAGCATTAGGTCGAGAAAACATTACTGTACAATCTTCTACTTGATGTCTAGTTTATCTTCAAGTATTAGACATCAAAAATAGACATCAGAAACAAGTGCTAATAAGCAAGAACATTTAGAAGAGGGAATTGAAAATGACCAAATTGCTCTTGCTCAACCACTCAACCAACCGCTCAACCACTCAGCCAACCGCTCAAACACTCAACCAACCGCTCAACCACTCAACCAACCGCCCAACCACTCAGCCAACCGCTCAACCACTCAGCCAACCGCTCAAACACTCAACCAACCGTTCAACCACTCAACCAACCGCTCAACCACTCAACCAATCGCTCAACCACTCAACTAACCGCTCGACCACTCAACCAACCGTTCAACCACAACTCAACAATTGCTCAACCACTGAGCTATCCAGAGCTATCCAGTACCTTAACTTGCTAAGAGAAAGAGGGAAAGACAAGGAAGCTAGAGCTAGAGCTAGAGCAAAGCCAAAGCTATGGCAAAGCCAAAGCTATGGCAAAGCTAAAGCTAGAGCAAAGCTAGAGCTATGGCAAAGCTAAAGCTCAGCCAAAAGTCAATAAGTCAATAAAAGTCAATTAAAACATTAAAGTCAACAAAATTATCGGCTTCTTCTGGATCATTTTCTTCGCGAAAATCTTGTCGGATCTTTACTTTGAACGGTGCATTCCAAAAGCAACAACTGGTTGGAGCATTTCTTTCCAAAAAAGCAATAATTTCGATTTCTTTCCAGCAAGAATCTCGATTTCTTTCCAACAAAGCAATAATTTCGATTGAAATTTTTCACCACAAGATCGATCAATTTTGAAGAACTTTGCAGCAGAGTGATTGAGCTCGATTGAGGCTTGATTGAGTCATTTTCACAACATCGAGTTTCGTCTTGATGTCGATCGTTTTCCGCCTTGTTTCCTTCTCCAACTCCATGCTTTCAATCAAATCTGCATCCACATCGCTTCTCTCATTGGTTCCATTCAAATTGTCTTCTTGAAAGAGATCTTGAAAGAGATCTCGCTCCAGCCCAAGCCCAAGCCTAAGCTCAAGCTCAAGCTCAAGCTCAAGCCCAAGCTCAAGCCCAAGCCCAAGCTCAAGCTCAAGCTCAAGCCCAAGTTCAAGCTCAAGCTCCCGGCGGTCGCGGAACTGCAATCCGTCGTCAAGATAGTCGATTCTACCTATTAAAACAGAAAATGTATTGAGAAATTGTAAAGCATTGAAAGTTCAATGTTTTACAAAGTTTCCTTAGCGATCTAGCCGTGATGTGTGCCAGATCACAATATCCAATCGTCTCAAAAAAATTACTGTCTCAAAAAGTACAGTAATTCTTTCACAACGCATTTACAGTATTACTGTACTGTAAATCCTGGAATGCACAGCACCTGTTAAAGTGCAAATTTGCTTATCTTAACGAATTTTACCTTATTGCTTTGGATGGGGTTGAGAATGGACGGCTACAAGACGTCTGTCAACGAGAAGCCCCGAATTTTTTGACAGATTCCCAGGATCTGGAATGCACAGCACCTGTTAAAGTGCAAATTTGCTTATCTTAACGAATTTTACCTTATTGCTTTGGATGGGGTTGAGAATGGACGGCTACAAGACGTCTGTCAACGAGAAGCCCCGAATTTTTTGACAGATTCCCAGGATCTGGAATGCACAGCACCTGTTAAAGTGCAAATTTGCTTATCTTAACGAATTTTACCTTATTGCTTTGGATGGGGTTGAGAATGGACGGCTACAAGACGTCTGTCAACGAGAAGCCCCGAATTTTTTGACAGATTCCCAGGATCTGGAATGCACAGCACCTGTTAAAGTGCAAATTTGCTTATCTTAACGAATTTTACCTTATTGCTTTGGATGGGGTTGAGAATGGACGGCTACAAGACGTCTGTCAACGAGAAGCCCCGAATTTTTTGACAGATTCCCAGGATCTGGAATGCACAGCACCTGTTAAAGTGCAAATTTGCTTATCTTAACGAATTTTAATATTAAACCACTAACCCCTTCGAAACTTATTTACAGTATTACCATTCACTGATTTCCTCTAAATCTAATCATTTTACCGATAGCTAACCGTTGTGAGTTCCAGATAGCATAATTAAATAATTAAAATATGGAATTTATTGTGAAAAAGTACAGTAATCCTTTCACAACTCATTCACGAAACCAAATTAACCATTTTTCTCACAAGTTTCTACCATTTCGCTAAATCTAAATCTAAATCTAAACCCGTTTTAACGTTATTTTGCAGAAAAAAAGCTCTCTGGACAGCCTAATATTCAGTCTTGAACACATTAAAATGCTGTTGTTGGGCCACAAACATTCATTGCTCTGTTCTTTTCAAAGTTTCACTCCGGGGCAACGCGTGCATAATTACTCGCCGCTTTCCCTTTCCCTTTCTCTTTCCCTTTTTCATTTTCATTTCACTCTTTATTCCCTCTTTATTCCCTCTTTTCCCCTTCAGACTCAATATTCTCAAAGTGGGGTTTCGAAGAGCCGAAACACGATGAGAACTTGCTCTATTTTGTATAGATTTGTGCTCGTATAAACGCAGTTTTCCGTTCGCTGATTCGCAGGTTCGCAGATCACAAATTCGAACTCAAAGCATCTGTAGAACCAATTTAGAGAACCAACCAGTAGAACCGAACCGTAGAACCGTAGAACCACTAAATTTGATACAATTTATTCTTGAAATCATCTTTGATCCACTTTTTGATCTATTTTTTATCTATTTTTGATCTATTTTTTATCCATTTTCTCCATTTTATGACCTTACAACTCTCAAAAGCACAGCAAAAGCTCAAAAGCTCAAAAGCTCTTTTTTTTTATGTCAAATCTCGGTTTCTCCCCGGATTTTTCCAGATGTTACTCATCCTCTTTTGATATTTTTTATATAGCTTTGTTAGCTTTTAAGTTAAAATAGCTTTGTTTGTCTTTAAAATCTAATCCATAGCTTTGTCTATCTTTAAAATCTAATTCAAAGCTTTGTTTATCTTTAAAATCTAATCCATAGCTTTGTCTATCTTTAAAATCTAATTCAAAGCTTTGTTTATCTTTAAAATCTAAGGTCGCGTCCGTTTCCTTCCTATTTGCGTTGCTATTTTGCAATTATTCGCGTCGCATTTTTCGTCCTTTTTCTCCCTTCCCGAAACTATTTTTTTTTGGTCTGCGGGTTTTTGCCTTCTTTCTGTGGGGACTTTGTTGTTTCATTTTTGATGCGCATGCTGTTTTTGTAATGGGTATTGTTGCATTTCGGTTCTGTAATAATAAACAGTAACGTTATAACTTTACGTTATAACGTTATAACTTTACAACTTCACTTTACTTTATGCTACCCTTCAGGTTTTTAAATCCTGTTTAGATAACTGGTTTAACATTGTAGAGAGACTGATTTTTTGTGTCATTTGTGTCACCATCGACGTAGTATCAATCCGATCTACTCTTCTCAAGAGTATTAATCTATTGTTGGATACTACGTGTTCTTGTTACGTTGTAAGCGCTTTTGGGGAAACCCTTTTAACCTTTTGTGCTATTCGGCCATTCTTAAGCAAAATCATCCTCGTTGATAAGGTTAAAGCGGGTCGCACCCCAAACTCTAATTCATAGCTTTATTTATCTTTAAAATCTAATCCATAGCATTATTTGTTGTCCTTGATCTTCTCAAATTTAAATTAAGCTATCAGATTGAGTTAATATCAGTTAAACTGCACTTAAAATCGTTTTCTGAAGATAAACAAAGATATTGTTATTGATAGACTGAAGATATTGTTGCTTTTATCCGCCCATTCCCATCTTATTGATGATTTTTGGTGTTGAGAATGCTCTCGAATTCATTTGACTGCGCAATGAGGAGCTCTCGAAAAAGATGGGACACACAAAAAACCAGAGAATCCCGGAAAGAAAAGAAATGGGATGGACACCAAAAAAGGAGATGAACAAGGATGGGAATGGAGATGGAGATGACTGGGGCTGTGAAGAAAGAAGAGAAAGAGAATGGAGATGACTGGAGCTGTGAAGGGATGGAGATGAGAGGCTCGTCCCCTTCCCCTTCCATTCCCATACTCTTCCATTCCCATACTGTTCCCCTTCCTGTTACTGTTCCCCTATACCCTTTTTTGTTCACACCAGATCACTCTTCTAATCTTTTTCATAACCTTGTACATTTCTAGTGCACTTTATAGAATCATCGTATGAGGAATCAAAATCTGAAATCAAAATCTGTGAATGGCTTTCCAAATGTGTAAAACTTTAATCGAAAATTTGGCGTCAAAATGGATGCTAAAAAGACTTTTTTCCTTGATTTCAAAGACTCCTTTCCTTGCTTTAAAACGCTCTTTTCTCCCTGGAGAATAGGGACGCTGGTGATTCAGTGGAGCATTAACCATAAAAGCATTAACCTTCCGGGCCCAGGTTGAGGGTTCGATCCTCGGTTCCAATACGGTTCCAATACGGTTCTTTTTTTGATCTAATACGGTTCCAATACGGCTCCTATTTTGATCTAATACGGTTCCAATACGGTTCTTTTTTTGATACAATACGGTTCTTTGATCCAATACGGTTCCTATTTTGATCTAATACGGTTCCAATACGGTTCCAATACGGTTCCAATACGATTCCAATACGGTTCCTATTTTGATCCAATACGGCTCTTATTTTGATCCAATACGGTTCCAATA